GAGTCAAAAGTTATGACTTTACAAAGTTTTTCGATTCGTAAGTTGACTTTTTTTGTCACGTGTCAACACCAGATGATTCACGCTTAATTTAGGCGTGAATGCCTTGGGAGTCACGCCTAATTTGGACGTGAATGAATGCAATAAATTCGTAAATAGTTTCTAAACTAACCTATTCGTAATTAATTATTAAAACAATAATATTTTAATTTTTTCCCATCGTAATTCTACAATTTCTACTAGCAAAAACAAGATATACAAGAATTGATTAAAGTGTTTGAAATTAAAGATTAAGGGTTCAGAGAATTGCAAATTTTATTTATCCCTATTTAACCACCACCGTTTTTTATATGTGTCCTTATCTCAAGATTTACTCCATTATGTCAAGGTTCACACGTGCTTTACAAATATTTACAATCTCTAAACTCCTAGTACTTCGAAACCTTTCAATTCTACCAAGCTTTATGAGTGTTATAAACTTTTCAGCTTCCAAGCTTCTTAGTGCCCATAAAATATGAATTTATAAGGGTAGGATGAAGGATTATTTATAGCTCTCAAAAATAGCAATTATACAAATTAAAGCTCCAAGTTACTTTGCTAGGATGAGCACAATATTGATTAATGTATGTATCTAATCTTAATTAATGTGTGTGATGCTACAATTCCTCCCAAAGTACTCTTAGAATGTGTAAAAATAATTACTCATCTTGTTTAGCGCTGTGAATGTATTTATAATGTTTTTTTTTTAAAAAAAATAGCTATTTATAATTGTTAATACACACCGGACAACTAATATTCAAATACCCATTGTGTGATATTTGAATATTGGCCTATTATTCATTGCTTAGTATTCGACCACAGAATTGAAAACAATGTGTTCTCTTTCAATTCCTTACACTTAGGTGTGCATGACAACTTTTTCGGAATGAGTTTTTTTTTTTTAATTTTTATTCTCAGGAACAAAAATGGATGAGAATTGCGTTTGAGAAAACTGGTTTATTTTTTTGTTCCCGGGATGAACCGGTTTTTTTTGTGCGGGGAACACAAAAAAAAAAGAATCAAAAAAATTATGCTTCTCTATTCCGGACACAAAAAGAGAATCAGATTTCTCTCACACTCTCACGACTCCGTACCCGCTCACACACCAACACCGAACCAGCACTGCTTTCAACCATATCATCGGACGACAAATCCCTCCCTTCACACATAAGTTGCAAATTTTAGAATTTTTGAAATTGGGGTTAGGGCTCTTGAAGGATTACACGTCTGAAACAAATTTATTCATCTTATTATAGTGCAGTCCGTTGAAATAAAAATAATTTAATATAGTGAATTATTTTATAGCTCAACCTTGGATCTGGAAAAGTGCAGTCCATCTTCATAGGATTTTTATTTTTTATAGTTCACAAATTTTAAATCCATTCTAGAAAAAATTTAAACAACCATTTTATTTGTAACTCATAAAACTTCTGTAAACCAATTATAGTGAGGTTTCTGTACAACAAATAGTTTGTGTGAGTAACATTTTGGAAAATGGGAAAAAATAAAAAAATAAAGACGAAGACAGAAAGAAAAAGAAAAAGAAAAAAATGTGTTATCAAACGTAATTCTGATTCTCGGAACAAAAATAAAATATGTTAACAAACGTAATTCTGATTCTCAGAATTGTTCCAAGGCACAGAAATAGAAAAAAAATCATTTCTTTTCAGAAACAGTGCCAGAGAATAGAATGATTGTCATGCGCAGCCTTAGAAAAGATTCCTAACAATTTAGGAACAAGTAACTAGCTTTAGGTTAAAGATATATGATATTAATATATGTTGAAATCTTTTTCAAACATTTTTTACTCTTATACATGATTCGTAGAAATTGTATTCAATTTGATTCAAATTTCGTTTCATAGCTCGAATAAAAGGGATTATTACATTTAGTATATGTTGGTTATTTTACTTTAAGGGCAGGATATACTGACCATCAAAAAAGTTTACCACCTTTACAACCAACCTAATCATCGCTGATTTCCGTCAATCTAACGGTTATAATTTATTGAAAATAATAATTAATTAATAAATGCAACCCAATAATTTCCAATAAATTACAACCGTTAGATTGACAGAAATCAATGGTGATTAGATTAGTTGTAAATGTTGTAAACTTTTTTTGGTGGTAATTGGTATATCCTTCCCCTTTACTTTATTAGAAAAGCATCCAAGATAATTTTTACAAGAATCATGCAATTTTTAAAGAGAGAGGATTGTATTTATAACCAATTTTTGTTTATAACCACTTTATTTATCCTTGAATCAAAATCAGCTATTCTTACTTAATGTGCTTTTATAATTGTTAATTAGATTTTGATCCAAAAATAAATAAATAAATAATTACAAGAAGTTGTAAGTAAAAATGAATTTTAAAAATGTAACCTCTCCATTTTAAAATACTAGAATATTGCCACGATTTTACACGCCCAAACCATGAGTTTCACCTCCACCTCATCAATTCCCCATGTACCATTATAGGCCTCCTTTAAAAGCCTCTTGTCCATAGTTGTTAAAATATCGATTTATCACTATGATTTTACGTTTTTACAATTTTTTTTCATCAAAACGATTTTATCAATATTTCAAACGCTTTTACATTTTTACGATTTTTTACGATTTTTTTACATTACGATTTTACGTTTTACGATTTTTTAGTCTCCTTTCAATTTTACTTAAAATCTTGATTTTAACAACATTGCTCTTGCCGTAGCTAAAACAACATTCTATTTCCTAGCACTATTTCTGAAAAGAAACAATTCTTTTCTATTTTTGTGCCATGGAACAGTTTCTGAGAAAAAAATGTGTTTGATAACATGTTTTATTTTTATTCCGAGAATGAGAATTGTGTTTGATAACACAACAAGTAATATAATAAAAAATAATTCCTATTAAATATAAAAAAATTTCGGATCATCACTTTCCTTTCCACATGGTGTGGTTGTGGTGGTGGTGGCGGCGGCGGCGGTACGGTAGTGGTGGTGGTTGTGACGGAAATGGATGCGACGATGACGGTGGTAATGGTGGAGGCGGCGGTGGTAGTGGTGGGGATGGTGGTGGTGGAGGTGACGACAGTGATTGCGACAATGGCGGTGGGTATGGTGGTTGGTGGCAGCAACAATGGTAGCAGTGGCATGGTGATGGTGGTGGTAGTGGCTGCAGCTGTGACGGTGGTGGTAGGTGACAGTGGCGGTGGTGATAGTGGTGGCAATTGCGTGATGATGGTAGAGGCGGAGGTGGTATAATGATGGCGATGATGGTGGTGGTGACGGTAATGGCTGTGACGATGGTGGCAGTGGTTAGTGACAGCGGTGGTGGTGACGGTAGTGTTGCGGCAATAGTAGTGGTGGTTGGCGTCGTGGTGGTGATGGTAGTGGTGGCGTCGTGGTGGTGGTAGTGATGGCGATGAGGGTGATGGCAATGGCGTGTGATGGCGATGGTGGCGGTGCCGGCAATGGTTGCGATGATGGTGGTGGTGATGGCGATGACGGCGGTGATAGTTGTGGTGTGGTGATGGTGGTAGTTGTGGTGGTGATAGGTGGAGGTGGTGGTGGCATCATGGTGGTGAGGGGTGGTGACGACGACACTAGTGGTACGATGGTGGAGAGTGATTGAGAGGGATAAGTGTTTCTCATCTTGTGCCCGGAAACAAAAAAATAGAATTTTTTTGATTCTTTTTTCTGTTCCCCAGCACAAAAATTAAACCGATTCATTTCGGGAACAAAAAAATAAACCGATTTTACCAAACGAGTTTCCTATACATTTCTGTTCCCGAGAACAGAAATTAAAAAAGAATTGATTCCGAGAAGGTAGTCATGCACCCATTATACAAGCACCCCTCAAAGAACCACCATTAGAGCCCGTTTGGATGGCTCTTTTTTTCTTCAAAAGCTGTTTTTTTTAAGAAAAAAAGCACTTCTCGAAAAAAGTCTGTTTGAATGTCTGCTTTTAAAAAAAGCAGAAGTCATAAAAAAAGTCAAAAATCTACTTTTTTCTGAAGCTAAAAATTTTAGCTTTTAAGAAAAGCAGAAGTCAAAAGTCAAATATTTTTTTTCAAAAAACAATATTTTTAAAAAAATCTAAATAGCTGTAACTTTTATAAAAAGTACTTTTAAAATAAAAAATGATAAAAAGGACTTTTTTTCAAAAGTCCATACAAAGAACCTCTTAATCTCCCATGGCAATGTAACATTCACGGGAATTGCCGCCAAAGCCGCTTCCAAGCAACTCTTGAGTTCCATATCCTCCCGTATTCAAGAACGATTAAAGGCTACCTAAGCATCCATTTGTAGCATGTTTAAATTTGATTATTTCTTTAGGAAAAAAATTGCTTTTTTTTTTAAAAAAAGTTTTTTTATTACAAACTGCTTAGATCATAAAACAAGTTAGTCTAACTAAATCCACGAAGGATATTACATTAAGTAGGCAAATCATATAACGAATATTCGTTATTGATAGGGACGTAGATAGGATTATTTTTTTATTTTTTATTTTTATATATATATATATATATATATATATATGGGAAAGGATATATTTACCACCAAAAAAATTTATCATTTTTACAATCAACTTAATCACCATTGATTTTCGTTAATCTAACGGTTATAATTTATTAGAAATTATTGAGTCGTATTAATTAATTAATTAATTTCTAATAAATCAAATAAATTATAATTATTAAATTGACAAAAATTAATTATGATTAGGTTAATTATAAATGTGATAAAATGTTCAGTGGTAAGTATATCTGATGCTAATAAATTTGGAGATATACTCCAAAAAATGTAACCGTAAGATTAAATGAGAAGAAAAAAGAAAATAAAATAAAAAAACTTAGGCGGACTAATTACTACTATATTTAGAAAGAATAACATCGTTTTCAGAACATAGTTTATTTACGTTTTCTGGCGTTTAGCATAGCCAAGCATACACGAATGCGGTTGTTTTGACACTTTGCGCTCTCTTTCTCCTCCAACGGTCCAACTTTGACTCTTCCTTGTTTTTCTTTCCCCCTTCTCTCTCTTTCAAGTGCCGGTCTTCTTTGAATGCACCTCTTTTCTTTCCACCCATGGCATCACCACCTCATTCTCTAAACCCTAGAACCGCTTCGCCGCTCAATTTCTCAACTACCTTCCCTTTCTGATCGGTTATTATTATTATTATAATTATTATTATGTCCATTTCCGTTCCGATAACGATGAACGTGACGGTTTATTCCGCTTTTCTCGATTTTCTCTTCCCGTCCTTTTGGGAGATCAAAGTCGCCGTCGCCGCCTCCGTCTTCGTCATACTCGCCTATTGTTTCTTCACTTACAGAACTGGATACCGCGACGCCGCCGATCGATCGCTTCTTGACAATTCTGCCGCCGCCGGTGATGCTACCGACGATAAGGACAAGGTTATTTTCGTCATTACCGAAGCTCTTCTAATGTTCAACCGTTACCGCGCTTTCAATGCTCCGTTACTATTTCTGCCGTGCTTTCTTCGTATTGTTTGTAAATCTTGCAGGGGAAGTTTTATGCCATGACCTTTTGTCAGTTTCTTTTTTGATTCTTTACAATTATCTTGCGCTTTTGTGTTTAATTTTGTTTTCTTTTAGAGGAATTGATAAATTTACCTGAAGTGGAGCATTTGTGGATTCGGTTGTGTTTCTGCCACGAGTTAGTTTTTTAAGATTGAAAATTGTCATCGCAAGTTCGTTTGCCGTTGTGGCTTGTTAAGAACGAAAATACTGTTCGGTTGTGTAACTCAATGGTTCAACATTTTCGTGTTAGTTGCTTCCTGAAGTAATTTTTAACTTGTTGACATGCAGTTCTGCACTTATTTTTGTAGATCGGGCAGTTGAAAGGAGATTCTCAAACCAGTTCGGGGTATCTGATTAAGGTATTTAGGTTTTCTAGCAATGTTTAGTCTGAACCATCTTCCCCAAACAAGGCAGGCAAATTGAATTAAAGCTTGCGTATTGACTTTTCTCGATATAAGTGATTGATATATGACTTTTCTTTTTCTTTTTAAATTTTCTTTGCAGTTAGAACTATTGGCTGCTAAGAATCTTGTTGGCGCAAACTTAAATGGCACATCGGATCCTTATGCTATCATCACATGTGGCAATGAAAAGCGATTCAGGTTCTATGATCTAGATTTTTTCTTTTCTTTTCCTTTATTTTATTGGAGAAATTTGCTTTGGATATAAAAAATTAGAAAAAAATATCTTTGTAAAGTCTTATATTTTGAAGGAATTGAGGGAGGCTTACAGCTGCCTCTTTCTCTAAATGTATTCTCCTGTAATATTTTTTGCCTTAAACAAAGCGTAAACTATTTATGTGGAGTTATGGACCTCTATACCATTGAATTATTCTACAATTCAGGTTGCAGGTGACAGGTTTTTGCTTTGCATATATTGGAATCTTTGTTTGAGTTGATACTAGGCTTAGGTTTTACTGTATTAGCCTATTAGGATTTTTTGCTTTATGTGGCAAACTGGTATAGGCAGATACTTTCCAATTTTGCTTTTGACTATTTTTTTTAGTTGCCCATTGACTTTTAGGTTTAGAGCTATCTACTGTAAACAACCTTATTTCTCCCACTTTCTTTTGTAAAGAAATTTAGTTAGTTGCTAGTCTTATTGTACTTGGCATTTATAAGTGTAGTATTAATTTTTTAGGAGAAACAATATTTTTGCTACTTTAAAATATATATTAAAGATAGGTGCACACAGCACCCATCTGTGCATATGTATGCATACATAAATATAAATGTAAAGCTGCAGAAATTTTGTACTTTAAATTGAATTCATGTACTATCAGAATTGATCTTAGACTAAAAAGAAAATGAAGAATGTGCTCCATCAGAGTCTGTTTGATTTGTGACATATTGATAATATATGTTTTCCATACTCAGCATATCTTCTTCTTCTTAGAAGCAATATTTTTGCTCTACATTGTATTATAAGTTGATCTTCTGGTGTGCTGATGCAGTTCGATGGTCCCTGGTTCAAGAAATCCCATGTGGGGGGAGGAGTTCAATTTTTCTGTTGATGAACTTCCTGTCCAGGTAGCTGGCTTATCATCTATGTTTTGATTTAGAGAAGTTATACAAAATGTTTGTAGCTGCTGAAAATGGTTTCATTGGTTTTTGAGGTTCAATTCTTATCTAAGCAGACTGATTGTGATGTTCAAGCTATTCTTACTATTAAGCACCAAGAAATTTGTTATATTTGTTATACTTATCTTCTAAGAACTTGTTTTGTATCTTTTTTCCCTCTTTACCTGGATTTATGTTTCTTTAGATGCCAAATAACTTCACCTGCCTATTAGCTATACATTTCATGCAAGTTTTATTTATTTTTGGCAGTTGATAATGCTTTATATGTTAATTTTTCCATATATGAATTGATTTTATCTCATTGACAATGCAATTTATTTTCTACTAGTCCTCTGTTGAGATAGTTCTGGTGTGTGTTATTTCATTGTAATTAATAATGAATAACCTTTTACTTATTGGATTTGGCAGTGTTTTGATAAGTGTGTTCTCATAATAAATTTTATGCAATAGCACATTTTTCTTTTTTAATTTATTAGACCAAAAACTAAGATGAGAAGAATACTGAAAATAAATATATCTGTGAAGTTTTTGGTAGCTAATCATAGTGGTCAAACAATGTCTTGAGCATTTGCGCAGATTGATATCTTACTATGGAGGAGTATCAGCATATTTCAATGCTTTATGTCAGTATTGCTTTTTAATTGACAGATTAAATCTGTTATGTAGGTTTTCGTGAAACTGATTTCTTTCCCTGCTGACGTAGCAGATTAATGTCACAATTTATGATTGGGATATAATTTGGAAAAGTGCTGTTCTTGGTTCAGTGACTGTTCCAGTTGAAAGTGAAGGTCAAACTGGAGCAGAGTGGCATGCCTTGGATAGCACATCAGGACAGGTAATACCTGCTTTCAGAAGAAATTTTATTTGGTTTCATAGTTTTTGCTTGACTTTTAGTTATATGACCTGCTAGTACTTTTTATGCCTTACAAATACCATTATAGATTGTTAATTGAATGTCAGGTTTGTCTTCATATAAAAACGAGAAAAATATCTGCAAATTCTTCCAGGTGGGCCTTTTGGTTTTATATTTGATTTGTTTCTATTAATTTACATTTCCTTTTAGTGGTCTAGCTACTCCTTTTAAAATATGTATATTATGTCGGTCCAAGATACTTCGGTGCTGTTATTATCATCGTATATTTGTCTATTTCTTATATTTATTAATTGACTTGATTGATAGGATAAATGGTTATGGTGGAGTCAAAAAAAGGATTCCCTTGGAAAAACAGGGGCCCACTGTAGTTCATCAAAAGCCAGGGCCTCTTCAAACAATATTTGACCTTCTTCCAGATGAGGTTACCAACAGAAGTTAAATTTGTTGGTTTTTTATTAAGGATTACCAGTATGGAGTGTTTCCTTAGGTCATATATACGCACACATAAACATGCATGTGTGACCTGTATTTTCTAGTCTGTTTATTCTATTGTGATTGCAGATCTAATGAGTGAAATATCTATTTCAGGCTGTTGATCATAGTTATTCTTGTGCACTTGAGAGGTCTTTCTTGTATCATGGCCGAATGTATGTCTCAGCATGGCACATTTGTTTCCATTCCAATGTGTTCTCAAAGCAAATGAAGGTCAGACTATACTTCCTTTTTGCCAAGGTTAACACTAGCGTACATTTTTTCATTTATAAGGTGGTTGATCCGTCACTCATGTTGGCTTCTTAATTTTAAGATTTTCTCAGTGTTTTAAAGTGAATTGTTTTAAAGAAATAGGATAAGAAATGGAAAATAATAGGGGAATTGTATTAATGGATACTGGTCCAACGAGAATCCAGCAAGATTACACAATGGTGATGAGAAAAATGACCTACAGCAGAGATAATGAAATACAGATGAATGAAAAGATAACCCAGAACAATTAGAAAGGCTACTGGTCTCTCCCTAGTTCCAATTCCAAGCCCAAAAATGCCCCCTCTTTGTCGATGCTTCATCAGTTCCTCCCTTTAGGCAGCATAGGATTTGCACTCCCACAACTTCCTTTAATTCTAACTGATTTCCCTTGCAACAGAATTGACAATATTCTCTTCTGCTGCTGACTCAGCATTACATAACAGAATTGGATAACAAGATCTTTGTAATGCTTCCTTAGTAACCTTAGTCATGGGTGGGTCTCTATCAAATTGATAACAATTGGAGTTGGAATAATTTAGCTTTCATGTTAAGTTTCTGGTTAGAGGAAACAGTTGTACTATAAGTTATAGGCTTTTGCCTGGACCTATATTTACTGAAACTTTATTGTTAATATGTATGACTTTATAAAAAACAAGCCGTTTCCCACTTATCAACACTGCCAATCTGTTATTTGTTGTTGATTCCTTGGTTTTTGTATTTATTTTGTCTTTTTCTTTTATTAGAATAAATTACTAGTATGAATTTTTTGTTGCGGGACATTTGACAGGTTGTCATTCCATTTGAAGATATCGATGAGGTGCAATCTCTATTGCTTATTCTCTCCCCCTCCCCGCCCAACTTCATATTTCATTTACATTAAAACTTACATATGGTGTAATTATTCTGCTTTTTCTTAAGATTCGGAGGAGTCAACATGCATTTATTAATCCTGCTATAACAATTATTCTTCGCATGGGTGCTGGTGGACATGGTGTCCCTCCTTTGGGAAGTCCTGATGGTTAGTAATCGGTTGTAAACTCTATTTCATTATTCATTTTCTTGGAAGAACTTTTAAGTATGCTTAATGATGCAATGTTTATCCAGATTCTTTCATAAATAAATTCAATTCAATTAAACACAAGGTATTGCGTGGGCTTGGTTCCTTTTTTTGGTGTGGTTATAGATGTTTTCTATATGTATCACAATGGCATTTATTACACATTGGCTCTCTTTTTTATCAAAATATAAAAATCTGATACTGGTCTTAATGTTATTTCTGAATTCTGGTAATATTTCTCTTACAATATATCAATGAAGACCAAATTGATTAACATCCTCATCTCTGTTACTCCCATTTTATGTTAATGTTGCCTATATGTTGGCCAACATTCAACTCCATATAACATTGCAGGCCTTACTGTTTTTTCTATAGAATTTTCCTTTTAGTTTAAGGGAAATTTTGCGGTCACACAAAAACCCAGCACTACGCCATTTCATCCACCCTGCTCTCATTCTATGATTTACATCCTCATCAATCTCTCCCCCTCTTCTTCTTTTCTCCTTCTTTTCCTTTATCTCTTTTCCCCTTCCCCATCCTTTTTTTTACACCCCTTTTATTTTTACTTTTATATATATTATTTTATTTATTTTAATTTTTATCGCTTCGTACCTTTCATTTGGGTTCATCTACCACCAACCCCAATTAATTTGAGATAAAGGTGGTGTTGATGTTGATGTTGACAATATATCAATGAGTGTTTTATTTATCAAATAAAAGTGAGCACCATGTTTTTTCACAAATGAGATGACTGTTATCAGATGATTTGATTAGATCTTTATTTGTCTTCTTTATTTCAGGTAGAGTCAGATATAAGTTTGCATCATTTTGGAACAGGAATCATGCATTCAGAAACCTACAACGGGCGGCAAAGAATTTCCATGAAATGTTGGAAGCTGAGAAGAAGGTTACAACTCTTGCTTAATCAATTTGGTCTTCATTATATGTATTACAAAATTATGATTATAGAGATTTATATCTATTTTTTGAGTAAGATGCTTCTTGTTATACAATCTGCAAGAGATTTAAAATTATTAATAGTACCTCTACACCAGGTTGTACTTTGGGAACATACATTATGAAACTGAAAAATCATATGCTCCAACTAACTAATTTTGTCTCTACACCACTATGTTGAAACTTTGGAGTCACTTGTTTAAAAAACTTAAGAGTCTGTTTGATTCTGTTCTGTTTTTTTTTTTTTTTCTTGAAACTGTTATGTAGAATAGTTAATGAAATAGATGTTTTCTATTTTTTTTTGTTTTGAAAGTTAAAAGTCAAAGCACAAAACAAAAACAACTCAGACATGTTTCCTAAATTTGATTTTAAAAACAAAAAAAAGTTACGATTCTTCATTTATTTATTTTTTTAACAAAACAAGTCTTATCAAACGGGTTTTTTTGTTCTAAAAATCAAAAAACTATTTTTAGAAACAATATTCAAACAAGCCCTTAAGCTCTCTTGATGAATAATAAGTACTTAGTGTTTCCTTCTTTTAATGATCTTAATTATTATTACGCTTTTTTTCTCTTCTTTGATAGTTAATTTTAGGCTGAGCTTGAATCATGTAGAGCTGCATCTGGAATCAATCAGTTCGTGGCACCTTGGTAGAATGTTAATTGAGTATATAAAACTTAAAGCACCACAAAGTTATGAGTTGTCAGATGGACACTCTACTTTAGGCTACTAAGCTCTTTTTTGGGGGAAATATGATTTCGTGGAAAATTAAGAAGCAAAAGTGCAAAACTGTGAGTGCTCCATGAAGTGCAGAAGCTAAGTATGGAACGATGGGAACCGCAACTTGTGAACTCATTTGGTTAAAACAGTTACTCTAAGATTTGACCATTTGTGACCCATAGTCAATGAAGCTAATTTGCGACAATCAGGCTGAATTGCATATATCCTTATATCTCATCTTTCATTAAAGGACTAAGGACAATTGAGATTGATTGTCACTTGAGAAAATTCAGTTTGGGGAGAGATTGAGACAACATTTGTAAACTTCAATGATCAACTTGCAAATATTTTCACAAAGTTACTTAGAGGTCTTTGAGTCAACTATATATATGACAAGCTTGGCATATATGATATATACACACCAGCTCGAAGGATGTTAGAATATCATAGGATATCATGTATATACTATAGAATAAGTTAGGATAACATATATCAGGGATTGAATCATTCTAATGAATACCTGCACTAATATGTGGAGACTGTGTTTTGTTATAGACACACAAAATCACTCAATCAGATTTCTTCTCTGAATATCAAGTGATTTTAAATGAATTTTTACCCGGAAATTTCTGGATAAATTGAAAACAATTTCATGTGATTCAATGTTTTTCGTTTTACAGGAAAATGCTGAGTCAGAACTCCGTGCACATAGCAGTTCTGTCAGAGGAAGTAAAATACTGGAAAAGGTTCCCCAAGAAAGCATGCCAAAAACTGGAAAACTTCAACCTTTTATCAAAGAAGAGGCTTTAGTTGGTATATACAATGTATGCATCATTTTCTACTTTTGTCTGAGTTTAATTATCATCTTAATTATTAGTAGTATATAACTAGTGAGTGATCCTTCTCCAGGATGTCTTTCCCACCACAGCTGAGCTGTTTTTTAACTTGCTATTAAATGATGATTCAAAATTTACTAGCGAGTATCGTTCAGTACGAAAGGATACTAAACTTGTGGTAAGTTTTCTATCGTGATTCTTGTTAAAAGTTGTCAATTCCTTAAATGGCTAGAGTGGATACCTAATGTGAAATAATAAAAAGGCTTGCCTGTTGTTATATGTTTGGTGACTGCTATTTGATGTCATGATGAACTGTTGAGGTCTTCTATTGTTGAAAGCAAGGTTAGATGCACAATGCAAGATACTTCAAATTAAGATATTTATCTTTGTTTATAAATTGTTTAATCTTTGTGATTACATAATATAACTTTCTTGTGTTAGATATTTGCATATGAGCTTATTAGCTAGTAGTAATTTACTTTGTTTGTATTTGTGCTGTAGCTAATTACTTTCTCTTGTATCAGATTCGGTTTAGTCTGTTAAGTTTGTTCACTTTCTGTTGTGTATTTTGTTGTGTAATTCAGCTCTATTTGAATAGGCATTTCCCTATATTTGATTTTTTCTTTCTCTTTCAATAACAGAAATTGTTCCCTCTCTGAGTTTTCTCTCTCAAGATTTTCTCTTGTAAAAAACTAATTCAACCCAAAAGTTTAAGCTGTTGAGTGAGACTACATTAATGATTTTATATATCTGAAACACGCCCTCTCACAAGAGAACCCGTTGGGCTTGAATGGTGGATGATGCATCAGGCCCAGCCTACCTGCGCTAAGAAATTCCACAAAGAAGATGGGGGGCTGCGAGGATTTAACCCGGGACATCGAGGCTCTGATACCATGTAAAAAACCAATTCAACCCAAAAGCTTAAACTGTTGAGTGAAGCTACATTAATGGTTTTAAATATCTCTAATGTCTCTCACTTTCCTTCAATGGAGGAATTCTAATATGGTATCAGAGCCCTCACCCTAGGGCCTAATCCGTACAACAGCCTTCATTCATGTCTTCCGCATCCAATTCGGACGCTACTTCAACTCAACAAAACAAATCAACTTCCAGATCTACAATGGAACCTAAGAATCATTTTTCACTCTTCAATTTCCAGATCTCTGCGAAACTGACCGAAGATAACTACCTCTTCTGGAACCAGATCATCGAGCCAATCATCACATCTCACCAATTGCAGCGATTTTTGGTGAATCCGAAGATTCCTCTCAAATTCGAATCGGATGAGGATTGAGAAAACAACAATTTCAGTCAGCCTATTCAGAGTGGTTATTGCAAGATCAGATGCTTCTAACTTGGCTATTATCAACCATCTTTGAACAAATGGTAAACGATATCCTTCCTGTTAAGCATTCGTTTGAAGCTTGGGAGAATGTGCATAAGATGTTCCATGGCGTAATGAAATCGCGAGCCAGACAACTGAGATCTGAGCTCAAGACGATGAAGAAAGGGGACGAAGACAGCGAAAGAATATCTCGCTAGGATTAAGACGATTTGTGATTTGCTCAAATCGATTGGAAGTCCAGTTTCAGTGGAAGAACACACAAAGACTATACTCGAAGATTTATCCTCTGATTATTATCCATTTGTAATAATGATACATGGACAAGACAGAGCCTATTCAGTGGCGAATCTCGGAGTAGAGCTTATGGCTCATGAACAACTTGTAATCAAGCAGAATGAAAAGCTTTTGGCTGAAGGAGCTTCAGTGAATCTGTTTCTGAAACCAGAAAACAGAGTCGAACAGAGCAACCAAGTTTTAGACATTTCAATGCATCAAATGGTGAAAACAGAGGAAAAGCCAGATCTGGTGGAAGGTTTAATCGTGGAAGAGGGTAACAGAACAAACGTCCATTGCCAACTTTGCTATAAGTTTGGTCATGATGTGTGTGATTGCTAGCATAGGTTTGAGGAGAATTTCGCTCCGAGCCTGCCTCCACCACAGAACATTTCCTATCCACAGTATTTTATTTAGCAAAAACCTCAAAATGTCAGATCATTTCAGTACAATAGATCACAAGTTCAACCACATGCTTACATGATTGCTCCTGCCACTTCAAACGCTGCACCATTAGTTGGATGGCTACTTGATTTTGGAGCATCGAATCATGTCACTGGAGTATCACAGAATGTTGTGCAAGGACAACAACTTAGTGGTACAAATCACATTTTGATGGGAAATGGCCAAGGTCTGCCTGTAACAGCTATTGGTTCTTCATCCTTTCAATTTCTATTTGATTCTAACACTCACTTAAACCTTAATTTACTTTTAGTTCCTTCAATCACTAAAAATCTTATAGGTGTTAGCAAGTTTGCCAAAGATAACTCAGTCTTCTTTGAATTCCACTTTGATGTGTGTTTTGTCAAATGTCAGGTTTCACATAAAGTCCTTCTTCAAGGTGGTGTTGGTATTGATGGTCTGTATTATTTTCCAGATCTTAAGTTGTCCAAAGATCCTACTTTAATTACAAGTAAACCTTGCTCCAGTTCTTCTTTTGCAAGCAGTTTTGTCAATCTCATTAGTCCTAGTGTTAACTCCAATGTCCAGTCTTCTAGAGCTGTAGTTGATACACATGATAGTGCATGTACACCTTCTGATTCCTTGTACTCTGTGGCATTGTCGTTTGGGACATCCACACTTAGACTCCCTTGAAAATGTACTGAAATCTTGTAATATACATTTTAGTAATAAAATGGCAGAATTTTTCTCTTCTTGTTGTTGTGCAAAGTCACATAGACAACATTCCTCACGTTCTAATACTGAATATAAAGAACCATTTAGTCTTGTTTACAATGACCTATGGGGACCTTTACCTCTAAAATCATCCCTTGGTAACACTTACTACATCTCATTTGTAGATGCTCACACTAGATACTCATGGCTTTACCCATTAAAGAAGAAGTTTATGCAATAACCATCTTTAAACAGTTTCATGCCACGGTAACTAATCAATTTCAGCTACCTTTAAAAGCACTCCAAATTAGGGAGGTGAGTTTAGAATCTTTACTCAGTATCTTAAAATGAATGGAATAGCTCATCGAGATACTTGTCCTCACACCTCTCATCAAAATGGTGTTGTAGAAAGGAAGCATTGACATGTTGTGGAAATTGGTTTAGCCCTTTTATCCCATTCTTCTTTTCCAATGAAATATTTGGACTATGCTTTCACTACTGCCATCTACCTTACAAATAGACTCCCTTCCTCTGCCATTAGCTTTGAGGTTCCATACACTAAACTTTACAAGCAACAACCTGACTACGAGTTCCTTAGAACCTTTGGATGTGCTTGCTTTCCTTTTCTCAGACCATACAACAAACACAAGCTTGAATTCAAATCAAGAGAATGCATTTTTCTTGGTTACTCACCAAACCACAAGGGATACATCTGTTTGAGCCCAGATGACAGGATCTTTATTTCTAAAGATGTTCTATTCAATGAGTATAGGTTCCCCTATAAGGAATGGCATAACAAGAAGACTCTTATCACTCCACAGATACCTGCTCCTATATCTGTTTGTCTATTCTGACTCAACTTTTTCACTCAACAAATACGAACACTTGTCCAATAACTCCTCACACTAATGAGTTTCCTACAGATCATCCTATTGATGTGTAACCTGTCACTCCAGTCACTCTTTCTTCTGAATCTGTCAGTAATAATCAGCAATCCAATCACTTCTCTAGTTCTGAGTCTTCTTCTACATCTGTTATATCACCATCTGGCTCACTGCAGTCATCATCTTCTCAAAGTGCTCAGCATTCCGATATCTCCAGTCCCGTTTCTAGTTCCTCTTCCAGTCTAGAATCCTCTCATTCTGTGTATGCACTTTCTGATTCACCAGGTTTGTCCTCACCTGGTCATTCCATTATCACAAGGTCCAAAACTTTAGACAGAACTCAAGTTTTGCTCACTCATACTAACCCTCTTCTGTTAAGCAGGCTTTGGCCAATCCCCATTGGCACAAGGCAATGGAATTACAAAATTCTCGTCTTTTTACCTCATGGCAGGAAGGCTATTGGGTGTAAATGGGTGTTCAAGGTAAAAGAAAATCCTGATGGGAGCATCAACAAGTACAAGGCAAGGCTAGTTGCAAAGGGGTTTCATCAAAGACCAGGTTTTGATTATACAGAAACGTTTTCTCCAGTTGTTAAACCTATCACAGCTCGTTTTGTGCTGTCTATTGCTCTTAAATATGGTTGGTTTTTAAGACAACTTGTTATTAATAATGCTTTCCTAAATGGGGACCTAAAGGAAGAAGTATATATGGAGCAGCCAACTAGTTTTGAGTCTGAAAACAAGTGTCTCATTTGTAAACTTTACAAATCTCTTTATGAACTCAAATAGGCACCTAGGGCCTGGTTTGACAAATTAAAAGTCTCTCTATTGTCCCTTGGCTTTCAAGATGGTCGATGTGATCCTTCTTTATTCATCTATAAGGCTGGTAACCTGCGGGTTTACATGCTAGTTTACGTTGATGATATCATCATTACAGGAAATAATGTTTCCTTTATTCAGAACTTTGTCTCACAGCTTCATTCCAGTTTTGTTTTGAAGGATCTATGAGACCTTGATTATTTTTTAGGCATTGAGTTTAAAAGGCAGTCCTCAAGTTCCTTATTTCTCAGCCAATCCAAGTACATCAAGGACCTTCTCACTCGGGTTAATATGCTTGAAGCTAAATCCATTTCTACCCCTATGCAGTCAGGCTGTAAATTGAACAAGTTTGGCAGTAATTTCTTTGAGGATCCTCTTTTATACAGGTCTATGGTTGATGCCCTTCAATATGCAACAATCACCAAACCTGAGATTTCTTTCTCTGTGAACAAGGTGTGCCAGTTTATGACCAACTACTGTTGGAGCATTGGAAGGTTGTTAAACGCATTTTGCGCTACCTACAAGGCACCATCAGTTTTGGCCTGCATTTCTAGTCAGTAACCTCAGCCTCTGGTTCTTTTCCTCTCCATGCCTTTTGTGATGCTGATTGAGGCAGTGACCCTAATGACAGAAGATCTATTTCTGGTGCCTGTATCTTCCTTGGACCAAATTTGATCTCTTGGTTGTTAAAGAAGCAGTCCCTTGTAGCCCGCTCCACTGCTGAGGCTGAATATCGAAGTATGGCACTTGTGTGTGCTGAAATTTTATGGGTTAAGTCTCTGTTCCATGAACTGCAGCTTCCTCTGTCTGTTCCTCAGATATTTTGTGACAATCTTAGTGCAATGGCTATAGCTCACAACCCCATTTTACATGCCCACACCAAACATCTAGAACTAGATCTTCATTTTCTTCGTGAAAAAGTTGTTGCCAAGAATATTCAAGTTCTTCATATTCCTGCTACAGATCAAATTGCAGACACGTTTACCAAACCTCTAGCACTTGTTCCCTTTACTGATTTCAGGTCCAAGCTCAGAGTGTTGGGCTCTGCCTTGCCTCCAACCCTGCTGAGCTTGAGGTGGAGTATTAGCTAGTAGTAATTTACTTTGTTTGCATATATGTTGTAGCTGATTACTTTCTCTTGTATCAGATACGGTTTAGTCTGTTAAGTTTGTTCACTTTCTGTTGTGTAATTCAGCTCTATAAGTAGAGCTGAATAGGCATCTCCTTGTATTCGATTTATTCTCTCTCTTTCAATAACAGAAATGGTTCCCTCTTTGAGTTTTCTCTCTCATGATTTTCTCTCACTTTCCTTCAATGGACGAATTCTAATAGAGCTAGTTGTGGTTATCTCAAATAGTGGTGTTACTTAGATTCAGGTTCAAAGTGAACCCTATATGTGGTGACATGTAGAAAATTTAACAGGCAATTCAAAATTGTAAATAATTATATATGAATAATTTTTATTATTGCATATAATAATATAAATAATTACATCATATGAGCTAGTTACGGTTATGTCAAAGAGTGGTGTTACTTAGATTCAGGTTCAGAGTGTACCCTACGTGTGGCAACATGTAGAAAATTCAACAGGCAATTCAAAATTATAAATAATTACGTATAATAAAATTCAGCCCTTGGATATGTTGCCCCATACAGGGTTCACAATGAACCTGATTCCATATTAATTCAGCTTCATGTCAAAATGATGGATGATACATTGTTATGTGTGCATGTTAGAATACTTGAAAGTCCATGTTTGCTTGGTCTGAACATCATTGTGATTATAATTAAAAAATATGCTTGGTAAAAATATGCCTAGATAAATCTGATTAGTTTTCTCCTTAAATATACGTATCAGTATATGTTAACTATGCTTGCTGGTTTGAGTGCCGGAAAAGTTTTGAATATAATTTTGACTATAACAACAAATCTATGATTATGCTGGTTGCAAAGCTGCATTTAGAATTTATATTGCATGTTCATGATTTTGTGTTTCTGCTATATGGGGTATGTGTTAAGAAGATCAACGAGGAGGAAATGAACTTTTGGATTCTAGGTTGCAACAAGAAAAGGGTGCAAGAGAGGGGCTAAAACTAGGATATTGTTGCAATATTCAAGGATAGCAACAGTGTGGAGATTGAAAAGAGGCGAGCAAGATCCTTATATAGTTTGGCCTTGTTGACCTCTATTTTAGGTTGCAACAAGAAAAGGGTGCAAGGGAGGGGCTAAAACTTGGATATTCTTGCAATATTCAAGGATAGCAACAGTGTGAAGATTGAAAAGAGACAAGCAAGATCCATATATGGTTTGGCCTTGTTGGATCAAATGGGTTATTTGCTTTATAAGGACATCAATCTTATTTTTTTTTACATTTCACCTTGGTCACGGCTGGCTATCTTTCCAGTCTTCTATGCCTGCAGTCTAGTTTTCCTTACTAATTTAATTTTATATTATAATTTCAAAGCAATCTGTTTGTGACACGTTTCTAGAATTGGGCGTAGTCTACCTCCTGTTAAGTATATTTTGACACCTAACCAGCCCAACTTGCAAAACTTGATAGTCATCCATCCTCTAATTTAAGTTTTGGTGTACATGTCATCATCAATTTATGATATCATCTGCTAGAACTTGTGAGGTTGGTTGGTGGCTTTGGCATTTCAGAATATTTTATGAGCAGTTGTTTAGATAATTCTTCCCCTACATCTCTCGTAGAACAGAATTGTTTTCTTGACTTCTCTGTGTGTGTCAACACTTGATTTATTTCTATTGTTTTTTAGGGAGGGAAGTGGGTTGTTGGTTTTTTTTTTGTTTTTTGTTTTTTTTTTGTGGGGGGGGGGGGGGGGGGGGGGGTCACAACAATTTGCAAAGGGGATGCAGAGCTTATTGATTTTTCTTGTAATAGGTTAAATGTGTTTACTTGATTACGAAAAGGTATAATTAATCATGATTTGTTTGCATAAGACTATTTGATGGTTAAATTCAAAATTAGATTGCTTTTCTCAGTGCAACATTTTGAAACTGTTAGGGCTTAGGTGCTTGATGTTTAATTTTAATCTTGTTGTGGAAACTTGAGGTTTCATGTGCTCATATTAATGCTCATGCTTTGCATTGTATATGTTGTGCATGGATATAAATTTTGATAACCAAGTGGCATCCTGTTTTTAAGTTGTTGGTTTGCTCTATGGTAATGCTCTTTTTAGATGGGACAGTGGCATACAGCAGACGAATATGATGGTCAAGTCCGAGAGATAACCTTCAGATCTCTTTGTAACAGCCCTATGTGCCCTCCGGACACAGCCATGACAGAGTGGCAACATCATGTTCTATCACCCGACAAGAAAAACCTGGTTAGACTGTTGCTAGTATTTACTTATGATGATATATCCAAGAAGAATATTGATAAATGATATTGTTATGTTGATTGCGTTCGTGGATATATCCAAGAAAAATATTGCAACTCATATCCTACTCTTCTCTGCCCCCGCCAACTCTTCTTTTATCTGAGTTCAAAATATCTAATGGGATGTTGTGACTTTTAGGTTTTTGAGACTGTGCAGCAGGCACATGATGTTCCATTTGGATCCTACTTCGAGGTACCGAATACTTTGGATATCTTATCTGAATGCTCAGCTGTTTTTGCTATTTTTTTCTTTTAATATATTTTTAGTTCCTGAGATCTGATTTGGATCAATTTCATTTCTATATGATTTTTTATTATTCACTACTTTAATAGAGGCACGTATCAGTAAAATGTTTTACATATGATCCACTGTCATTGAAGAGCTTGCATTGCTTGTAAACTATGTGCTACTAAAATTAAAGTACAAACCGCAATGCACAAAGGCTCCCCAATTTTGCGACGGTAGAGGTGAGAGTTGATTTTACATTATCTTACTCTCGTGAGGCTCTAATACCATGTTAAGTAAGGAAGAAACGAGAGACATTTGGTGAAATTCATGTGTGTAAACTACACAACAGGAAGAAGATAACCAGAAAAGTTTAATGAACCAAAATATACATGGTTTCCAACTCCTACCAAAGTCACTTGTATTCTAGCTTTTGTTAAGGTGTACAATCCTGTCTAGCTACTAATATACCTAATTAAATTAGTACCCACCGGAAAGGGAAGAATAGTTTCATTTTAAATATTAATGTAGATAATTCTATTATCATTAGCTTTCTTTTAAGATGTTCATTAGTGGCTTTCCTATCAAAAGGGAGAACAAATGAACACTAATGAAAAATACCTGTTCTAGAAATCCTAGATGGCCACACCTCTGATAATGGGAAGGATTACAACCAAGCATTACGGAATGAAATAGAATAGAAAGCATACTAGTAGTTACTCCTTTATCTGTGCTCTGTTCGTCTCACACATATTTATTCTAATATTTATATATTTTTCTGATAAAAGATGATTTTAAAGTCTTGGTCATCATACAGGTACACTGCAAATGGAGTTTGGAGACGACCAATGAAAGTTCATGTATTCTGGACATAAAAGTGGGTAAGTTTTGGTCGAAACTCATTAGTATTGTCCCACTCATATTTTTTATCCCCGTTTAAGTCTGTCATTGATGGTGCAGTCCTCTGCTAATCACCAACCATAAAGAAATAATAAATTGCTAATTGGGTTAAAAGATTAAGCAGGCTAATGTTGGGGAAAATAAAATCCAAAATGAGAAAACTATAGATCATAATTCACAAAAAATTTACCTTATAAGATAGTCATAGTCAAATTTAACATAAAAAATAAGGCTTGAACTAACTGACCAGCTTCTGGATCAAAGCATAGCAAATACTATTTTGTTATTTATCCTAACATCCTGTTCAACAATTGTCGAGAAACTCAAATTTCAGTCCCGGAACTTGAATCAAATATAAAGTATGACCTTGTTTTCTCTTCACAGTTGGATATATTGGCATTTTTATAGTTTATTGTTCCTAGGTATGGAGTCCCTTTTGTGAACCTTTCAAAATAAGTTGCATTCAGATGATTTCTGGATACTTTGGTAATATATTTTTGATCTTCTTATTCTACCCATAGTCTATGCTCTCCGATTACCATGTTAAACTACTGAACCAGGGACAAGCTAGAATTCCAGGACTTTAGGTGCCCAAAATGAAAATCATTACGGGCATTTTAAAGTGAAAAATAAAATCTTAGTGCAATTCCTTCCTCCACTTCATTATACCCCTGTTCAGGATCAAGGATAAGCAAATTGGTGAATTATTTCTGCAGGTGCACATTTCAAGAAATGGTGTGTGATGCAATCCAAAATAAAGTCAGGGGCAGTCAATGAGGTTGGTAGATCTTTGATTGATTTACATAGTTATTGCATTATTATACAACAGTTCCTTTGAATTGTAGGTATTAACAGATTTTTTAATTAATTGAAAAAAATCTATCAATGTAGTACAAGAAAGAAGTTGAGGTGATGCTAGATGTTGCTCGTTCATATATAAAGTCGCATACGTCTAATAACGAGATTGATAGGGCCTCTTCGTCCCCTGCGGAGACTCCGGAAAACTAATATTTCTGGGATTTTATTTATATGTGCAATATTGTAACTTTCCTTTTCTTTTGTTATTATTCTTGTAATACGAAGAGCCGAAATATATGTATATTTTGATGGCAATAGTTTTTTGCCAGTGTATATCTGTTGGTAACTTTCTGCTTGTCATAGGGGATTCTGTTGTTTCCATGTTTGTTCTTGAAATGCTTCCGTGGAAAATGAAATTTTCTTTTTTTTTTTGTCTTTTTTTATTACTTTACGATCAGCCTTTAAAGAAAAGCCGTGTACCTAGCACTCCTGTTGATAAAGAATTGGATTGTCAATGAAGTTGAATGGGCGTTACATAACTATTATTATCATGTAACAAAAGTTGTAAATAAATTCCGAAGTAAGCATCTGTGCAGTGGCTTCTCTGTATAGTGTATGAAGTTGAAAGACCGACTAATTGACAAAAATAAGATTAAATGAATTATTATCCAGACTTAAGTGATTTCTTCTCTAAATAAACTATAAGAAGTAAACCTTTCTATTATCATCAACTTGTTACTGTGGACGGACTTCCGTAGTAGATAAAGGACTTTGTTATTTTAACACAATAATGTTTACGCCACTTGTATACTTTTTCAAGTTTGGGAAAATAAAGGTGTAGACAAAAATGTGTTGGAATGTGTATGTTTGTTGTTTATTATTCTCAAAAGGTGGTGTAAAAATAATGCAATGAACATGGTCTATGAAGAATAAGATTATTGGTAGATAAAATAGTAGTGTGTGTGTGTAAAAAGGAGAGGAGTCTAAAATGTAAAATTGTATATTAAATTGGAAAAATACGCAAAAAACAATTTTAGAATATAACAAACATTAGATTGGCGAGGTTTTTGTTGTAACATGGGCCTAGGCCCATATTTCAGCAGAAAGAATGGAGTCAACCCGGCCCTTGAACATTCCCGTGGGTGGCTTGTTCAGGTTGAGAGAGATGAAGGGTTCGATGAGTAGCTATGGCTATGGCATTGCCGTGGTTGTGGTGTTGGCTTTGAGTTTGAGTTTGGGTGCATCAACGGAGCAACTGAGCTCAAGAGAATGCGAGAACCTCGGTTTCTCCGGACTCGCTTTGTGCTCTGACTGCAATACTTTTTCCGAATATGTCAAGGACAAAGGTAAAATCGATTTCGGATCTCTCTCTCTCTCTCTTTCTCACGTTTCATTCAAAATAAATTTTACTTTGTTCTTAATTTTTTGAATTTGACTATTATTATGCTACTCACTGAAGCACGAATAGGATCGCACATAGGTTAGGGTTTAGTTTCATCGCTTACATGATAGGACACTTGTGATTTGACTTGGCAACAAGTTACTAGTTCAAAATTCGGTTGTACTAAGCTCAAAATTCGGTTGCAGAGTTGGTATCGGATTGTTTCAAGTGTTGCACGGAAGACTCCAATGATGCCACTACCAAGGTATGTGACCCATTTTGGCTAAAGGAATGCTAAATTTGGAAGTAATTACCAGTAATTATAAGTGCATGACCATTTAGACAAAAAAAAAAAAAAAAACAAACATGGTTGAAAATTATATATTATGTATAATAAGCAACGTTATCTCAATATTTGACTAGTTTGTCCAGTATCGAACTTACAACAAAACCAGGATCCTTCACTAGAGTTTCGATGCAATCACTGCGTTTATTTTTGGTGTCATTTCGTCCTTCCAGCATGTATTGCCCCCTTTTATCTCAGATTAAGGCAAGGCTATTATATTCATAATTCTTTGTCTTTAGATTACTTACTCTGGAGCTGTACTGGAAGTCTGCATGAGGAAACTTGTTTTCTATCCTGAAGTTGTTAGCTTTATTGAAGAGGAAAAGGATCAGTTTCCATCAGTTAAAGTTCAATATGTTTTTAATTCTCCACCAAAGCTAATCATGCTGGATGATGCAGGTCAACAGAAGGAAACAATCAGGTGAGACTTGTTGATAATCCGCAAGTAAATACCTTGCTAGCATCATCATTGGTTTGGTTTTTGATTGATACTAAGGAATTGATTGGAATGCTATGACTTTTTAAAGATGTTGTATTTTAGTTGCCATCAGAAGGATGAAGTGAATAGTGAAATAAAATGACATAATTCTGATAAAAATTGATGTAGTATTTTCACTAAGGTATAAAATGATCGAAAATTGCTAGTGGGTTTGCAACATTTAGTTACTATGTTTTCTAAGAGCGGGTGAAACATTACTCATTAGGGAATCAATCAGTGGCACTAAGCTTGTGGATGCGTGTATAGCGGGCTTGTGAGGAAAATGATCTTTTCATTGAAATGAAAGAATCTAGTAAATAACTATTTGAATTATCTACCAAAGAGAAAAAAACTTTTTTGAATTTTTTGTTGACGGTTGTATGGACTCTAATGAAGGAAAGAGTATACTAGAACAGCCACAACAACTTGTGGATGTGTGCATTCTCTATACAAAAAAACAGTTTTACCGTTTTTTGTACTATAGGAAGTAAAATAATTTTTTTAAAAAAATTTGGGAACTTTAGCTTGTTTCTGATCAAAGTTTTTTTCTCTGTTTGTCTGTTGCAGAGTTGATAATTGGAAACGTGAACATATACTGCAGTTCCTGCGAGAGAAGGTGAAGCCTTTGGCAGCTGTTTGAGAAGGTTTTACCCGTTCACTGCCATGCTTTCCCACTTAACAAAAAATGAGTGAGAGAATATATGCGGTAACTTAGACAAGTTAATCAAACTTGCCCTGGTTACTAGTCACCCGAATAACGTATAAAATATTGTAGTTTGATCAATTTGAGATAATTCTGAGCATTTCTGACAATTGATTGCAATAGGGCAGTTTCCTTTTCCCAGTTTTTATGGCAACTGAAGTCTTGTAATATTCATTGGTGACAAGCTTGTTTCAATATTCATCAGAGTGATAATACGTGTATAGCTATGGAATTTATTTTTTAAAAAAAGTTATGAACGCGTAATTTGTCTCTCTATCAATGTTTCATCGCCCGTCAAATTCGTGTTTTGATAAAGTGGTCAAAACCTTCTTGGCCAACCACATTGTCCACTTTTGAACAAAAATCTTGGATTTTATGAAGATTTAGCATTTGCATGTGGATTGCAAAACAGCCTTCTAGAGTGGAATTAATGTAGGGACATCAATATTTGAAGGATTAGAACATGGATGAGGAATTATTCCCCAGCTTCTTGTTTGCAGCTTGTGGTCCTTACCTAATGAAAGATGCAGCAACTGAAAATATTATACCAAGTTGAAGCACATTTAATGGCCAACAGGATTTGAATAATAAGTATTGAGGGATTTCTCTTGAAAGGCTCAGGTTTAATTTTCATTGTTACTATAAAGTGTAAACCCTAATGCTAATTAAAGTTTGTAACGTGTCCTAATTGTCTCTTCAGATGCGGTCGTTGATGCTAAGGGAGGCCTCCATCATCCATTTTGTTTCAGATAGTTAGTTGATTTGAGAAACCTTACACATTTCAATCAGCAATTCATTTACATAACACATTCAGGAAAACCAATACTACTGCATACATTACATTGGGTAGATCACTTGATTATAAGGGAATGAATGCAAGATTTCATCTCATGTTTTTTAATTTACTTGTAAATGACTTTATAAGATGTATGTAAGTTTTATTAATTAATAATATTTTAATTGGGCCCTGAACACTATATATGACCCCATATAATAATATATATGGCCCCGCCCCATAGTTCCCACTAATTCTAAAATTTCTTTAATATTAAAAAATAAAGAACATTTAACAATTTTTTTTTTTTTTGAATACAACAATTAACAATTATTAAGATATATTATCAAAAACTATCTCATGCACAAAATGTTTTAAAAAGTATACTAAATTTGTCTCTCAAAAGAAGTAAAAGTATATCGATTTTTTAACTTTATCGAGTTAAAATTCACTATATTTTAAATTAAATAAAAACATATCCACTTTCGTACTTACTTTGACAGAAACTTTAGCCCAAAATGCAACTTCTTTTACCTTTCAAAGACAAACTATTCTAGTGAAATAATAATGGGGATTGTTTTTCTTATGTTACATCAGATAAAACAATCTTTTTACACAAACAAATCTTACCTGGGACTCACTTTAAATTTTTCTCTTTTTTTTATTCTCTCTCCTCTCTCTTCCTTTTGTGAGTGTAGGAACATTGCTCTTATCTTATGCAAAATAAAAAAAATAAATTCCAAAAATAAATATAATTCAGAACCAATTTTTATGTTATTCTCTTCACGTTACTACCATCATCTGGTCGACCCCATTCAGACATGAGATCATTGATAAATGTAGGGTCAAAGGGTACTATCACACTTGAAATAAAAAAAAAAAATCGTATGTCTAGATTAGCACACAAAGTGAAACATTGACATTCGTACTTCATCATATCTAGAAACAACTTTCATTAAGCTAATCAGTACACGGAATCATTATACAACTAGCAATGTTTAAATATACACTTTATAATCAGCACAGGGAATTAAGGATACATATGGCATACTTGAAAGCTTAACCCCATCACCAGTTTAAAATCTTAAAGGCGTGGGCCAGCTTCTTGATAAGAGTTTTTTTAACGCTTTAACTATTTTAGCTATTATGATTCCATCTAGATGTATGATAATACATTTTCAAGCTACAAGCCTGGTTCAGCAACTTGGCAACCTTTTAGACTGCTTAGCTGACAAAATTTGTCAATGAAATTGCGACACATCATTCTCAAGTTTAGGTGAAGTAGTCTTGATGGGAGCCCAGATATCTGCACCATTGCTCTCAGCAACTCCAATAGTAAATGAGACAGGAACAAGACATAACCCTCTACTCCTCAGGCTGCATGGCTCTGTACCCTGTAGAGGCAATAACTCTATCACAACCCAATTCAACACCAGCAATAAAAAAAACAAAAAAAAAAAAAAAAAAAAAACTTCTCATTAAACCCGTGAGTGTGAGAAAGAGATAATCCTTGTACGCAGTCTTACACTTGCATAATTGCAAAGAGACTGTTTTCTATATTCAAACTCGTGACCTTTCAGTCATAAAAGAACACCTTTACCACTGCTCCGGTTCGCCCTCAATTCAACACCAGCAATAATGCTAATAAATTATATTGTACTGATTACCATAGGTTCATCCAAGATATCATATGAATATTATTAAGGGGGGAATTTGATCCGTCAAATTTGATGTGCTCCTTTTCTAGCATATGAACCACCAATAAGAATGGTTTAAGGACAAGTTGACTAAATCTCTGACCAAGGGTTCTCATTGTTATAGTAATAAGTCTTTCATAAGTGTGATGTTGAAAAAGCCAAAAAATGCTTTGACCTACGCCAATGTGGTAGTGTTCATGTTATGCTCACCTGCATCTTGTTCGTTGGTGAAGTTTCGAGGTAAGGAGCACTAAGCAGCTGTTAAAACAGGAAGAAAAAAATCTTTGCATAAGATCAAAGTCATAATGAACATAATTTAGAATTTTCTATTATATACATGCATGTATTTGAGCATATGGAGCAACAATAAAGCTAGTCATCACCGTACTTTACATTTCCACTTCCAAGAAAATGATAAGACCTTTCTTTTAACTTCACCCAGTCCCATTATAGAGCTGTTTTACATTACTATAGTTTTAATTCTTCATTTGGACACCAGAGACCCAGATTTACTGAAAATAAATATCTTGTTTCATGGCTTGATAAGCATGCTTTTGGTATATGAAACCAGTCACTGGAATATTTATGACGATAATTTCAGCTAATGTAGCAAGAATGGCCAAACCTTAACTTGTTTATGAAGGAACCCTATGTATTCCATTGCCTCCTTTAGAACAGAAGATGTATCTGTCTGCAGTGAGAATTAGATAGTCTTTAGACTAACAGGAACTTAAAAAAATTCATTTAATTGAGAACAATAATAGGTAAGCTATTACATAACTCAAATAAACACTTCTTAAATTCTTTTACTATACAAGTCAAATAAGTATGACATATGACAAGCCTCTGATATATCTTAAGTAAGATCATCGATGAAGCTTTAGACAGGAGGTTGGGATAAATTTGCAGTAAACTCCATCAGATATTAAACAAATAATTGTAAGATGTCAGACAAGACATTGTGGCAGGAACTAATTGCTGTATACCTTCCCATATGGTGAAACAAGCTGCTGAAGCGCAACAATTCGTTCGCCAAGCTTTTCCTTTCTCTCCTATTTGCAGAAACATTAGAAATGTTATACAACTTCGAGCATCAAGGAGAGTTCTATGCAACAGGTTGGTTGAATACAAGTATTGCCTTTAAGAGGATAAAATATCAAGGACATTGGAGTATATAGTTATTAAGACCCTTTTGATTCCTTTTAGAGTAAAACATTTTGATCCCTTAAGGATTGGACAATTTAGTGCTGAAAGCTGTACAGTGACAACAATCCATTTCTCTAAAAAAATTGACATCAATTTAATCCCTCAATGATAGAAAAATGATATCAATTCAGTCCATCACTCACAGAAAGTTGCCATCAATTTAGTCCCTCGATAATAAGAAATTACATTAGTTTAGTTCCTCAATCTCATGACTTCTGCACAAAAAGGTTATTTCGATATCAGTTTTCATGATTGAGGAACTAATTGATGTCACCTATCTTTAAAAACTTGTAAAGAACCAATTCAACTCAAAAGCTTAAGCTGTTGAGTGAGGCTATATTAATGGTTTTATATATCTCTAACACGCCCCCTCACACGAGAGCCCATTGGGCTTGAAGGGTGGATGATGCATCATGCCCAGCCTACCTGTGCTAAGAAATTCCACAAAGAAAATGGGGGATAGCGAAGATCAAACCCGTGACATGAGGCTCTGATACTATGTAAAAAATCAATTCAACCCAAAAGCTTAAGCGGTTGAGTGAGGCTATATTAATGGTTTTATATATCTCTAACACGACCAAAAAGATGTCAATCCAACCATTCAAAGACCAAAATGGATGTTTACTCTCTCTTTTATCTGTTGATTTTTAGTAGTACAGTTGAATAGGCTTAGCATTGACCAAGATATTGATCTCAATTATCAACCTAAAGTAAAGATTGTAATTAATTAAATAAAACAAATTGAAAATAACCATAAGACAGCTGTATTGAAGGATTGAAATTATGCAATGCACGATAACAACTAACAATATGATATGTGACAATTCTAAGATTAAACACTATGATTCATAGAAGTTTTTATAGAGAAGAGGCACCATTGCATGGTTCTCAATGAAAAACTTCAAATAGTAAAGCTAGGATGTTGTAAATACATTTAAGTGGATACTGAAAGAAAAAAAAAGGAAATAAAATAATTGCTAAATAACTAACAATAATAAGAGGTAAAAAAGAAACAAAAGAAACCTTAGTAGTGATGGATAAATCAGCCTTTTGCCTTTTAGATGCAATAGAAGTATAATTGCTTTGATCAACAGAGCATGGGCTCCTTTTATGTCCCATCATCTTTCTAACATCTATCCCCTCTTCTCTCTGTGGCAATAAAGAAAAATCTTGTATAAGAATAAAACAAGATAGCAGATATCATAGCAGCATGAATGATAAGAAACTATCAACATCTCCTCTCACCATAGTAGCAAGTATCAAGTAATCTAAATCAGTTCAACGGTGAGGATATATTTTGTTCATAGTTGTCACACAGAGTTACACACATAATCACAGTGCATATGCAGTACACACAGCAGAAAGGCAAATCTCAATATATTCATTACACCATAATTTCTAGATTAATGATCTAATAATCACTAATTTAAAATGAAATTATCTTGCTTTTGACAGTACAACTAAGGGCCCGTTTGGAAGAACTTTTTTTTTTTAAATCTAAGTAGCTATAATGTAATTTTTATAAAAAGTGCTTTTAAAATAAGGAAGTCATAAAAAGGACTTTTTTGACAAGTCAATCCAAACGAGCTCTAAAGCAAGCAAGTCCCGTACTCCTTTTCCTCATTTCCTCATATATTTTTCAGTTACTTTTTAAGTTCGAAATATGTTCCATAGAATTCAATGCCACAAATTGAGGAAGTACTAAATGCAAGTAGGAGCTAATGCAGGTTCACTCAACTGGTTCAACAGTTATAGTATTAAAGAAGTTGGAAACGTATGGGGAAAAAAATTAACCATTATGAGGTAGTATAAATGTGTTACTTTTTTTCTATATTTGATAAAAGATGTAAGAGTGTACCAAAAATATCTTAATGGAGAAAAAAAAAATTCATCCAATGGGTAGCTTTTGCTCTAGGGTCACCTCACTTGAGAAATTCAAGTTTTCCTACAAAGAGAAAAAGAGGAGGAGCTCACCTTAAACAAAAAAAAAAAAAAAAGTGATTGACACAGACATCGAAGTGAGAGTGGTAAAAGAAGAGACTTCTCAAGCAACATGAGAAGTCTTTTTCCCATTATTAATATATCATAACAGCATGCGCTGTTGTAGTCAGAATAATGCTGACATTTATCAAAGACAAACAATGTCATCATCGTTACCGTCCCCCCCCCCATAAAAAAATAATAATAATAAGATCATTTATTAAATATTAGATAACCTCAAAAATACAAAAAGGTAACAACCGAGAATCAAAAGTGGCCCCATGGCCAAGATGCTAAACTACAAGGGAAATGAACCAACCAGCCATGCATTGCATTCAAACCACACAAGCTCCTTCGATCAGGCCAAGGGTCATCACTGTCACAAACATTGATCGCCATAAATCAACGGCTTAGAACTAATCACACTTTTTTAATGGTCCAAATAAGTAAGTACTTTAATCATCAAGATTGTGATTTTAGTTACCATATCAAAATAATTATTTAATTATTATTTATCAACCTTTTCACGTTGCCAATAACCTCAAATTTGTGGTGGGCCCACAATTTGATTTTTGACAAAAACATATGTATAGACACACTCATACGCGTACACATACACCTACACCTTGCATGAACGAATCTAATTTGCGTACAAAATCCTCCCAACCACTTTTTTTAAAATGTCAAAGTATATCTTAATTGACAACATGCATAAGGTCATAGGAATCATTAATTATTTACAGAAAAAGACAACGACTTATGCAGATATAGAGAGAGAGAGAGAGAAGACCAGTGTTTGGGCTTGGGTTTTGGAAAATCACAAATTAGAAACACAACCCAACCCAACCACTTATTTATTCGTATGTGCTTAAAAGGAGAACAATTCTGATCATATATTCTCTACTGATTGGAGTAGAAGGATGAGGATTTAGAACTTAAAACAACAACAACAACAACAATAACAACAGTAATTTTCAATATAAATTCTCAAAAATTCCCTTAACAATCTCCAAGCAAAACTGGAATAATGAAAAGGCCCATTTATCATTAGCCTTCATGAAAGGTGAAAACAAAAGAAAACACTTGAAAGGCCAAAAAAAGAAGAGTAGTGATGTTGAATCAAATTAAGAACTTACTGAAAACATAGAATCAGCATTGCAGAAGGAGCTGGCTATCATCTATGACTTTGAAGCAAAAAGCAGAAATGGTTGAAACCAAAGCCAAACAAAAGCCCTCTCTACTTTAGGCAAGTGATGACTGCAAATTTTTTTTGTGGGTATCTTCTAAAAGTTGCAAAGTTTGAGACTTTAAGCAGTGCCTGTGATTAGAATTTCATTTCTAAGACTTTTTGCAGGAAAATTCAAAAAACTTGATAAAAGTTACAGACACTAGTACTAGCATAGGCATGTAGGACTAGGATAATAAAGTAAGTTAAGTATTACTGTTGTTTGAAAGGAAAAGGAAAACTAGTGGAGACTCATCATCAATGGAGGAAGAGAATAAGGAGAAGAGAGAGAAATAGAAGTGTGGCTTCTTGAGGAGAATGAAGGATTAAGGAAGAAGGAGAAGAAGGGGGGAACAGGTTAATGTCAAAATGTGTTTTTATAAAGCTAAAATTAATATAATACAATAATTCCTTACGTAAGATTTTTGAAGGTTTATTGTCATCAATATACTTGACAGCTAATATACAACCAAGAGAGACATTTTTTTTTTTTTCAGTTTTATTTTTCTTCGTAATCTTTTTATATAAAGTATAAACCATGCTTAAAAGAAAAGACAAACGTTAAGAATAAATTTAAAAATTGGTGAACTGTATATGAGTTTATGTAAAAAAAAAAAGTTAATAATGTTTTTTTAAGTATAATTTAGTTATGATATGTTTCTTTTATTTTAAAAAGACAATAGTGAAATTATTTTTTTAAAGCTAACATGGCTCATCAGTTTTTAGATATAATTCTGTCTTGGGGCTGTAAAATAAGAGGTTTTTTTTTAATGAAAAAAGGTTATTTTTCTATTAATTAACAAAATATTTTTGAGAAATAACATTAAATTTGTCTACATCAGGAATCCCTATCTTTCCCGAGAAGACAAATATTTGTAACATAACCACATGAGTATTCATTTATGAAATCCTGTTACAACATAAAATAACGCCTGTAGGGTAGGGCCTTGTTCTAATGATTTTTGCATTAAAAAAAATATTGTAAATAAAAGATTTGTGGAATTTAAAATTGTCTCATAGTAAGTTTCTAATGCTTTTAAATTATGAGTAAAAAATTAACAATATACATAAAAAAAAAAAAAAAAAATCTTAGAGAACTCATTATTGAAGTTTTCACTTCTGTTTTTAAAAGAGATACCAATTTGTTTTGTGCAAAATATTTTTTACTAAGGAGGGTTAAGGCCTCTAATATAACAATAAGACTTGAAAAGAAAACACTAACAACATGAGGCATATAGTGTATTAATCAGGTAGAATAGGGGTATTTAAGATTTAGTCAGCTAATTGAGGTATTTTTTATTTTATTTTTTTGGTGGATGCTAATTGAGGTATCTTATCTTGGCCCTTTAAATAATCGGGTAATTACTACAAAAATAAAAAATAGTCGATCAAGTTTGGATATGAAATTTGAACCTATTGTATTTTTATTTATTTTTTTGGTACAAACTTATTGTATTTTTAGATCAAGTTGATACCATATTACGAGTTAGTCTAATCCTATCCAATATTATATACATTTTTTTAACTTATATTAATATCTTATGTAAAATATGATAATATTTTTGGTATTAATATAATTTGTTTGAAACACATAATTTATAAAACATTCTTTAGTTTTTTCTTTTTTAAATTTTAAGACTTTATTATATTTAATATTTAAATTTGTACATTCTCTCTAAATACTGAGTTAATTCAATCTCAAGTCAATCAATAATTAGATCATGTTAGAAAAATAAATGACATGTTCAAATTCAACTAGATTCTATCTATCAACACTCAAAACTTAAAATATCAATCAATAGTTAATTTGGTAACAAGGGAGTTAAATAATTAGAAATGAAAGAGTTTCGGTTCAATCCTTACATGTCACCTTTACAAGAAGTTTAAATATCTTCCTTCTTAACATTTTGGATTAGTCTCAGCCAACTCAAATAAGCTTATAGAAATACAGCAAAAAAAAACTAACTAGTTTCAAAGAAATAATTAGTTTGTGCTGACTATAAAAAAACAGAAACACCAAAAACATGCAACCCCATCTCAGTTATGACTTTATGTGATTATCTAATTCGTCATTCAATTTCCTTGTCGAAATTCACAAGTCACCGGAACAATTCAATTCCCATTTAGGGGACCTCTAATAGAACCCACCATTGTTGCTTACGGAAGGGACAGGGTGCACCCTGCAACCCTCAACCACTAAATTTCTTATGTCTAACCCAAAATAATAAGACACATGCTCCTACCAAGCCACTTTTAGGGTAAAAAGGAATCATTTTAATCCAAAATTTTAAGGGGATAGTTTTTTAATGATTTATATTATTTTTTAACACATTATCTCACATAAAAGTCTTTTGAACTTAAAGTGTGGATATTGCATAGGTCTATTTTTTTTTTCTTTTTAATTTACCTTATGCTTATTTAATTTCACAAGTGAAAGAGGTAAAAATCAAATTTGTGACCATGTAATCACTGAAGCTAATAATATATAAAGAATTATTTTAACTCAAAATCTTAAGATATTAAATGAGGATTTTTTTAATGATTTATATTATCCTCTAATTAAATAAAAATCCAAAAGTTCAGTCACGAGAATCATGAGAACGCTAGCTGGGGACAATGATCATATTGCCACTTTTTGGGCAAAAATTTACCCGATTGTCACGCCTGAAATTTTTTTTGCCAAAATGCCACGTCACAATCCCGCTGGTCTGACAAGCGGGAATGGACTAGAACGTGTCAGCGTCTGAATGGTCAATCATTCTCGCTGGGCTGCCTAACTAGAATGACAGAATGTTGACACGTAGCAAAAGTACAGGCATTCTCTGGATGTCTGTACTTTTGCCACGTGTCAGCATTCTGTCATTCTAGCTGAGCAATCCAGCGAGAATGGTTGACCATTCAGACGCTGACACGTGTCCAGTCCATTCTCGCTTGTCAGACCAGCGAGATTGTGACGTGACATTTTGATAAATTTTTTCAAGCTTAGCAATCAGGTAATTTTTTATTAAAGAGATGGCACAATGGTCAATGTCCAACGCTAAGTGTGCCCATCCACAACCACAATCGAGAATGCAAGAGCCATCTACAATTTTATTTTTTTAAGTTTTGTTATAATTTAAACTGGCGAAGAAATAAAAATTATTATAAAAATAGGTTACTTAATATTGATGATTAATATCAAAATCATGCATTTGTGAACGCAGAATCTTATCTAAAACTTTTAAACGAATTAATCCAACATTCATTGACAAAAAAAGAAACCATATTAATTCTAATAAACACTGAGAGTTTATCGAATTTTTGAAAAAGTACAAAGCTTCTAAATGAGTATCATTTAAACTTAAACGTATGAATTTAAATTTAATCAGTTATCTATGTGTTTTATATATATTATCACTAAATATAAAGTGTCGCATTTGTTATAATAAGTATTTTTTTGTAATAAAAGCATAACGATATTTTAAATATGCAACATTATATGACATTGCAATTGGATTTCATCTTTAATATTGTAAAGAACCTTGGGATACATCACCCCAAAAGCTAGCTCAAAGGGTGGGAGTGCCTAAGGCCTTATAAATACCACATTAGTTGCCCACACAATCAATGTAGGACACAATCAATGTGGGACTATATATCTCAACACGCCCCCTCGCGCAAGAGCCCTTTGGGCTAGAAGCGTGGAATTGCACAGACCCAATTTTTGGTTTAGCTTTTTTGTGCTTTCACTTTTAAGTGGGAGACGGTGAGAGCTCAAGCTCTGATACCATGTAAAGAACCTTAGGATACACCACCCCAAAAGCTAGCTCAAAGGGTGGGAGTGCCCAAAGCCTTATAAAGACCACATTAGTTGTCCACACAATCAATGTGGGACACAATCAATGTGGGACTATATATCTCAACAAATATGTTTATGGTTAATAAAAATGAATAATAGTTATATTACTTTTGTCATAATTTTATAAGAATGAGTTGACATTATTATTAATTTTTAAAAGGGTAAAGGATTTTTTGGGTCAATAGAGATAAATTATCTTTAGTGAGTCCAAAACGATATCGTTTGTGGCGGAAATCAATGTATTTTTTAATTTATTGCATGTAGGGGTGTAAATAGGTTAGGTTAGGGTAGACTTTGGCTTAAATAGGCCAAACCTGTGTAAAAAATATTGGGTCTGGTCTGCCTGTTAGACTATCTATGCCCCAAATTACAAGTCTGACCTGACTTATATTTAAAAAATAAAAGTTTTGACCTAAGCCTGCTAACCTGTTTAAGCCTATTAAACATTCAATAATTAAAAAGAATAATTAAAATAATATTACTTTATTATTTAAAATTATTAAAATAATAAGTTTATTAATTTTATTTAAAATAAATAATATGATATAAGCCGACCTGTAGGTTTATAGGCCAGACATTTATAAAAAAAGTCTGACCTGTTTTCTAAATAGGTTTTTTAAATAGTGAAGATCTGCTCTATTTTATTATTTGAAATAGGTCAAGTTTGGCCTAATATATGCTAGGTCGTAGATCCCTGTAGACCGGTCTATCTCATTTACATCCCTAATTACAGAGTTATATTAGTCTTTATCATTTTAATTTTTTAATCTTATAACTCAAAACAACGTCGTTTTAGACTCACTACAGATAATTTATTTCCATTGACTAGATAAACACTTTTATATTTTTAAAACGAGTGATTCTTATCATTTTAACTTAATTAGCAATCATATTTAAATCTTGTAAAATAAAATTGAATTCTATGAATAAAATCAACTGTGTGTATAGCATCCTTTCAAAATTAAATAAACGCTCAGAGTCAAATAAAAAATAATAATAATTCGGTCACTTAATCAGATCAGTTGAAGAATCTAATTATTTTCTATTAAACTTAATCGATCCAATAAGTTAAACGAAGTAAAATTCCACCAACTTGAATTTAAAATTAATTTATATTTTTATAATTATCTTATACTATTTTTTTAAATTAGACCAACAATAATAATTGAGCCAATCATTTCTCAACTAATTGGTAGCCGGATTCATTTTTTTCCTCTTAAAAAAGAATGCTAAAGGAAGAAAATATTACTTTTTTTAATCATAAAGCAAGTAATCAATTTCAACCTATAACTTATCAAACAAATTTAAAAAAAAATACTTTTTAGAATTCAAATGTTATAAATAAGAAGTTAATTGTGAAGAGATGTATCTATTTATGATTGAACGAACATAACTATTTACGGTGAAAGGACATGACTCTTCGTCGCCGATAAATACCATTGACCAATTATGATTTATACTAAATTTTTGTCAAAACGATTTTTGAATTCTTGTATTCATTTCGAGCGATAATTCAAATGTAAGTTGTGATTCTATCACTGCTGCTTGTTTAAGAGTGTCATCAACAAATAGAGTAATCCATTCTATTCTGGAAAATAATTATTCATAAATCTTGGACATCACAGGAAGAGAAAAATTATCTTAAGGACATAAGTCTAATACTGAACTCGAATTTTTCCTTGTTATGTTGGTATACTTTTCAACGGTATGCTTTAACTTTTTATTAATGTAGGTTTTTATTTTTTATTTTTTTTAAGAGTAAACACCCTTTTTAGTCTCTGTCAATATCTACAAAGTCCTTTTTAGTCCCTGACAATAAAAAAGGACCAAATTGGTCTCTGAAATTACAAAAAAAAAGGTCATGTTAGTCCTTATGTCAACTCTCAAATATGTAGAGTGGCCCTTTTCTTATACTTTCAGGGACCAATTTGATCCTTTTTTATTGCTAGGGACTGAAAAGAACTTCGTAGATATTGTCAGGAACTAAAAAGGGTGTTTACTCTTTTTTATACAAGTTTTAACTTTTGTGTGTGTATTTTATAAAATTAAGTGTGTTATTGAAGCAATTTCTTTAACACATATTATCCCTTAAGTTTACATAATTTTCCTAACAATATTTTGACAATTAATTTAGTACTCTGTTTATGTGAAGCATCACCATTCACTAATAAGAGCAATAGCAACAATTTAATTATCAACTCATAACAAAGCCAACCTATGGAAGTTTATCTGTTTTGGCGGGAAACCGGTGGGGTGTCATATCATATCAGTGCAGTTTTTCAGCATCGGGTACTCTCTTTCCGACACCCGGTCCCACCTTCGTTCTCTTCTTTCTTTCTTTTTCTTTTTTTTTTCCTAGAAACCTAACCCGTGACCCTACCCCAACCACGCGCGTCTACATCTTCGTGCATTCCAAGCGCGTCCTCGTCCATGTGTCACTCCACAAGTGTTTCCGGTGCAACAACTCTCGAATGTAGCGAGATGTTCTGGAACAGTGGGGTCCACGAAATGCTTCTTCTACGACCGTGCACCTCGAAAGTCCACGAACAAAACGATTTTCGTCATCTTTTCGGGACCCACGCGCTTTTACTTTCTTTCTTTGCATTCTTTTTTCTACGACTTCTCTTGGTTCGTCCAATCCTTCTTCTTCAGTTCCTGGTTTTTCTTTTTTTCTTTTTTTTAATACGTTAAAGAGTTTGAAAATGATGTCGCCGAAAATCTCCTTTTTTTTGTTTCCTATTTTTTACTCCTTAGCCTCGTGCTTTATTATTTTATTATTATTAGGAGCTGCGTACCTACCAACGGGGTTTAGTTTAACTAACCATTCTAGTTATTTAAATGAAAATGATAATTGATAAGATTTATGAAAAAATAAAGGAAAAATTATTCTTATGCTACATGTGATAATTTTTTTCTACACATCTTTTGATAACTGTGCTATATTTTTTTTTTTTTTTTTTCAAGTGATGGAACCCACAAGTTTATCTCTATGACATGAGATAACTTATCTCCTTTAACATGAGATTAATAAAACTCAAAATAAAATAGTTGGCTTTTAGAGCATTTTGTAGATTTATGTAAAATATAATAATATAATGGTACATGGATTCAATAGATTTTTTTTTTAATCTTTTTTTATGTATAATATAACATTTATTGAAATTGGATTCAATATTAACCGAGGAATACAGTTGGTTCAACAATTGAAAAACGCGTCATTGATTAAAATTTTTAAAATATACTAGAATAAAATGAGAAATAATCAATAATATATATCCTCTGTGCACATAAAATATTAAACAATTATTAGGTATAAATATTTCTCTGAATAAATTAATATCTGAAGGTTATATAATATTTTATAAATACTTTAATTATAAAAAATTGATATTTAATTGTAATTTTTTTATTTATACAATTGTAAATATTTATAAAACATGGACTGCCCAGTTCACACTGTTTTACTAGTTCGTACGCAAAAAGATTGACTAATTATAAATTGTACTGGTTTAGGGGCAGTTCGCCATCATTAAGATTTCATCTAGATTTGATTACTCTAACTAAGCCTATAAGTACGAGCCTATGTCCTAGGAAATTCCAATTCCTTTTTGAATTTCCCTACTTCTCAAGAGACTCTTGTCAATGATATGCATCATTACATTACATAAATGTATACTTTATTCGGAGTAAATTATGAATTAATTAATATGATCACGTTATATTGAAGAATTATAATTATATAAAGTGAATTAATAATAATAAAATATATATAAATAAATAATTATAAAATGATCATCATTAATTTTTTTTATAAGTATAGAATTTCTCCATATAAAATTAAGGTAATAGTTTTTTCATGAAGTAGTAGATAACTATTATCTCCTACAGACTCATTTATGCAGATAGAGTCCACTTTCAAGAGGAGAAAAAAAAAGTAGAATGAGATAAGACCCATCTTAAGTTTATATGTGTATAGAAGATAAATTTGTTCTTATGCAACATAAAAAAATAAATCTCATAAAATTATCATGTTAATCAAAAGAGGATGCATTTTCGTACGGTGATTTTGGGAAGCATTTCCCCAATCACAATAGTGGCTACATAAATGAGTCTTAAATAGAAGTAAGGGTATGTACGATTATATGTTTGGATTTATTTATTTTAATTGTTTAATGTTAAATTGTAATAAATTTCATATTCTCAAGATGGATATTTTGGCTTTGACTAAATTATAGAAATTAAATAATCAGAATTACCTACCTACCAATCGAATACTATTATCAACCATTAAAATAATAATAAGAATGCTTATATGAGTTCGATAATTCTAATAATTTCAATACATCAAAACAACTATAAATTTAATTGATCAAATGCACATAAATTTTTGTTTGGGTAAATATATATGACATAAAAAAAGGAAAAATCTGAGACCATAGTTTGCATGGCATCTGGACCATGTTTATTATGATACAATTATAATTACATTGGAAAGCCAGCTAACTTCCAAAATAAATGAATAATGTCCTAATTGTCATAGCATCTGGACCATGTTTGTCATGGCATCTGCTTGTTTAGGTTAGACTTTAGAGTATTAAAAAAAAGGGTGCTGTGAGAATAGTTAGATACATTTATACTTGAACAAATTAAATAGTAGTTGTGCAAATATATATGAATCAAACTTATCAGTTTGCGTCTTAATACAAACTCTTCTTACAAATGAAAAGTAATGCTTCGTTTTTCTTAGTTTTTATATATATATATAAATAAGAGGGTCTAGAGTTCACACACAAAGCAAACAGTCAAAGAAAAACATAAAAGAAAGGCAGAACACGAAACAAGAAAACCTACTGCTACCCTATCAAGAATAGACAACGGCACGATCCCTTCCTACAACAGTCAGGTTTGCCAAATAAATTAAGTGAATATCACCCGGAGGCTCTTGAAGGACAATCTCATCCCCTGGGTCCCTATCATCCAGAATGGAATTGGCTAACCAATCCGCACACATGTTTCCTTCTCTGTTTGTGTGATGCAAATGAACATCCCAAGTCTTGTTAAGTCATGTCAGTATACAGGAGACAAGATGAAACTCATGGACTGCTGCATTATAAGAAGTGAGCACAATGATTGCACTACTCGAATCACTTTCTAAGACTACATTCCAGTATCCTTTATTCCGCTCCAACTTCAAACCACGAAGAATGCCTCAAAGTTCAGCTTTAAAAGATGAGCACACACCAAGATGAAGAGCAAATCCCCACAACCAGTTGCCCGTAGAGTCACAAATCACTCCCCCACATGCTGCTGGACCAGGGTTGCCACGAGTCGCCCCATATGAATTAATTTTGACAAACCCAACATCGAAAAACTGTCAACAAATGCTAGTGTGGATCTTGTCGGTGCTTGACACGCTACCCAACAACACCGACATTAGCTTTTTCAACATCAAACATCAAGTCTTTGATCACCTATTCCTTAACCTCTAAAGGGGGAGCTCCACCCCCATGATACACTACATTTCCCAGCAAGTTAAAATAAATATATTTAACCATGAAACCGAAGCAGGCCCAGTAGAAACATTACCAATGTTTCCTATTAGCCAATGTGATAAGTCTCCTATGAAGAACGATGACCCTTATAACTCAGGCTTTAGTTTCAGCCAGAGTTGAGTTGCTCATCCACAATCTCCTAGAGCGTGGATAATCGTTTCATCTTCGAGCCTATAACAAGGGCAAGTAGGGTCATTTGCACCCCATTGAGAGAGCCTCAGCTTTGTAAGCAACCTATTATGGAGAATCTTCCACATAAAAAACTTTTGTTTTTGAGGTCCCTTCCAAGCCCATAGCCGATTCCACACATTCCTAACCTCCTCCCCCACATCCTGCCATTGCTGAGATTTATTGGATAATGATAGGATAAAAAAGTTGTGATCAAAAAGAATTTTTAGGAGAGCACGTGCATCTACGTCTTCAAATTCCATCTTCCACCTTAAGTTAGCACAATTTCTATCGAGCTTTTTATAAACTCTACCATGATTATTCCATTTTTGGCCCTGCCAAGTAAATTTAGCACCGAAAAATTTGATATACATTACCTGACAATTGTCTAAGAAGGTTTGGAACCTTCTGCATTTTGCTAGATTCAGATTATAGTTTCCTTTCTTCTTACAGCTACTTTTAATATCGTTAAAATCGCCAGCCAATATCCAAAGATCAATAATAGAACGACTGAGCAAGGAGACATCCTCCCACATACCATGCCTTGTTTCTTCTTGCAAACTTGCGTACACAGCAGTACATAGAAATTTCTTGAGATCCCCCACCTCGATACAAATATGAATAAACTGAGAAGTTTGTGAAAGGGATTGCTCTTTAGCCTTTTTTGAGTTCCACATTACCCAAATGCCACCAGAGAAACCATTGGCTTCCTCCACTAATACCTTGTCAAACTTCGAGCTCTTCAGGATCTTGTTACTATTGACGTCAGGAGTTCTCGTTTCCACTAAAATAACAATGTATATGTCATGCTTATCTACCTTCAGTTTAAGGGAGAGACCATGTTTCACTTTTGCAGCTCCTCTACAATTCCAAAAAAGCAAAGACATTAAATATTTCCAAAAGGAAGTGTAGGTTAATGTTGCACCTGCAGCAAATTCCTCTGCTACTCGTCAGTAGCTTGTTCATTATGAATTTTTGTATCTTCGATTGAATGCCGATCCAAGATGGACATAGGGTTAAGGGGGTTGGGAGCTTTTTCAATCTCCATTGCATCCTACGTCCCCATGACTTCATCGATGACCACTGCTTCATAGGAGCCAAACTTTATATCTTGTGGATTAAGAGATACGTTATCTTCAATGTTACACATCATAGGAATTCTTCCCCCCATCCTTTGTGTAGTTCCTTTTTTATCATTACTTGTTTTCACAACGGTATCCCTCTTCACTTGTTCCTGTCCATCATTGATTTTTTTTTTTTATATTCCCTAACCAGATTGTAAGCAATTTTTGTTTCCACCAACCTAACCCCCTCTTTAGCAGGTCATTTGCCTCTTTCTGGGTGCTTGGGTTGATCACGATCAACATGCCTCAAAGTTGTCTTATCTTGCCTAACAGTATCCCTTGGGCTTTCTTCATTAATCTCCTCATGCTGAGTAGATGATGTGCTCAAAGTCCCAAGGGTTCTCTTATGGTCTTTCTTCGCTTCCTTTACTAGTGCACCACCCTTTTTACCAATTTGGCCTTTTCCTTTTCTAGTTCTAGAGACAACCATCCAAGGGCCAAAGTTGGATACACAATCATTAGCTTTGTCTTGGGCATTCTCGTTATCTGCAATTTTTGTTGCTGAGGTCACGCCAGCTAACATCAGACCTTGCTCAGGGTAAAAGGCCTTAAGACATGCATCTGAATTTTGGCCATACATACCACAATTGTATCATATAAGATGCAACCCTTCGTATTCAATCTGCTTGTATTTACCTTCTATATAGTATTCTGTTTTCAAAGGTTGGCTTAGGTCCAATTCTACACAAATTCTCGTAAACTTTCCTTTTGCTAGGTTCATTGTAGCAGCATCCAGCTTGATGAATGTCACTATCCAATTACCTATTCTCTTCAGTAATGATGTGTTGAAATATTCTAATGGGAAGCTCGGGAGCCTCACCAAGCAGTCATCTTTCCAATTGATGCCTGCAACGAATAAAAATATGATTTCCACCTATGTATGGCCAGATAGTGATAAAACATAACCCATGGCCCAACCAATAAAGCAAATTCCATATCATCTTTATGTTCAAAGTGAACCAGGAAGTAATCGTTCTCAATGTCTGTCACAAAAATTTCGCCTTCCCTTCCCCACATGTTTTCAAGCCTTTTCTTCATGAAATTCACCGATAGTTTTTTACCCAAGAACTTGACAATAAGCGATTCCCCCAAGGCTTCCATGCCTCTTTTTTGAAATCATCAGAGAGTTTGAAATTTATTCTCCCATCCTCTCGTGATTCAAGTGTCACCTCCTCCAGACCTAACTGATCACCTTGCCTCCTCTCATGATTGCCCTCAACCACCATACCATCTTCAGCCTCTATTTTGTCTTCCTCATCTGAAATCCATTCCCCGTTGGATCTCATCAAAACCTCCTTGAAGCTTTCGTGGCCATCCATCCATGGTTCATCTCTGAGCGGGGGTGTGCCCATTAGAGAAAGAATCTCTCCCAATTTGTATTTTTGTGTGCTTCTCTGTAGATTATCCAACTCCTCTTTCGACGCAGGGCCGCGAACAACAAATGCATGTATGGTTGCTTGGACCATCTATCTACTGAACAAATTATAAGCTATTCTTCTTGCTTGGATCTTTTTCTCTATAACCTATATCGAATGAGGCAACCTTCTAGTGATGGGAGTATGAAGTAATACTTCATTAGTTAAGACTTAAGAGTAGTAAATACCAAATTTTAGTTGTAAAATAAAATTAAAGATTAAGTATATGAAAAATTAGTTTAACAATACATTAGTTAACAGTGTATTACCGAATTAGAGGTAAAAGTTAGAGAAATTTGCATGGTTTGAGTATCTTGAATACATATTTTTCTTATTACAATCTCGCGATGTGAAGGCCAACTTACATGCACCTCAACTAATTTATCTCTTTGGTTTAGTTAAAAACTAGTTATTCACATCGAGAATAAAAATTTCACAAAGATAATGATTTTGTGTATTAATACATACTAATTGGTTGCGTGAATAGCAATAGTTCATCGGTTAAGAGGAGTAAATTCTAAATTGAAGTTATATAGAAAAGCATTGAAATTAAAGGAGTTTCGATTGAAAGAATAAGAATAAGTATATATATACAAAACAAGTGTATAATATATGAGTTAACAATAACAATGTATAGTTTAAGTATCTTAAACACAACTTCTACGGTTATTTGACCATTTTGCCCCTCATTAATTAATAACAATTTTGCCCCTGATTCGAAACTATCTATCAATCTGCCCCTCTTTAATCGACTACTTTGCATGTTTAATCGACTAAATGATTGTTGGGAGATTTAATCGACTAAATCTCCCTATTTAATCGATTAAAATCATACTGACTTATTTTTTTTTTTTGTCAAATATGGAGATTTAGTCGACTAAATAGGGAGATTTAGTCGACTAAATCTCCCAACAGCCATTTTTTGTCTGTTTTGGCCATTTAGTCGATTAAAAATGCAAGGTAGTCGATTAAAGAGGGGCAGATTGATAGATAGTTTCGAATCAGGGGCAAAATGATTATTAATTAATTAATAAGGGGCAAAAGGTTGAAACAGCCCAACTTCTACTTTCTATTTTTTATTGCATTTAAGTGGCTTCAAGGCCAGCCTACATGTATCTCAATTAATTCACCTCCATCTAATGAAAAGTTGATCATTCATAATAAGACTATGGGATTTACAACGACAACAAGTTTATGTCAATACTATTTTGTCAAACAAAGATTAATAGTCATTAATTTAGAAGAATACATTATGAATTTATGATTTATATATAGATTGTGTGTATTTGTTACAAATTAATTTTTATTATAAATAAAGTAACATTTTAAACAATTTCACTATAAATAAGGCAAAAGAAAATAGATAAAAAAATATTCGTTCTTAAGTATATACGTAAAAGATTCACTTACAAATACAACTAATAAAAATTAACCATGACCACTGACAATTTTTTTTATGATCTATACTAAATATTAAAAGAAATAATTACAATTAAAGTATAATTAGTATGTCCTGTTAGCGTAAAATAAATTTACACTGACATTTACTAATACTTTTTTTTTTTTATAAATACATTTACTAATACTTTAACACATTGTTACTATGTTATCAAAAAAAAAAAAAAAACACATTGTTACTATTCTTTCATTAATTAAAATAAAAGTAATAAATAACTGTGTGTCAAAATATTAGTAGATGTGAGTGTAAAGAAGATGTAAAACTTCTGACAATACATGCCAATTGAATTCTTATAATTATAATGTTTCTAAATAAAAAATATACATATTTGTCATTCGATTACACTTGCGGAGAAGTGATTATAACTTGACCAAGCAGTTTATCATCTTAGATATTAAATTATTTTTACATCTCACCTCGATTATCTATATCTCCTGTCTAGTTTATGTCGGAAGAAAAGTGCAGCAGAATAAAAAAGAAGAAAAAAGCAGAAGCTTAAGGTGGGTTTCATAATTTTTATTTGATTATTAGTCCAAGCTTCGGCTTAATATTCTGTGCTTGGTTGTTGCTCCATCACACGAGTGATACTACGGATTAGAAGGCAACGGGAATTATGGCACAAAATCAGGAATCTTAAATCTAATGACAAGTGACACCAAATCTTCGACATTATATCCTATATAAAGTTATGATATCCTATGAACCTTCCGTTTTCTACACTTTAAGCTATGTGTATGAATATGATTACGAATGGAAACAGCTTTTGCCTTCCCACCCACAAACAATAACACCATTAAAAGTAAAAAAAAAAAGTTAAAAATAGAAGAAAAAAAAGTCTCAATATGTCTTAATCAAAAAGAAAAAAAAATTCAGAAAAAAAAACAAATATATTTAAAAATTACAACAATTACATAAAGGGAAAAGTATTTCTTCAGTTACCGGAGATAAAATTATTTTCAGTGAGCTCAAAACGACGTCATTTTGGATTATAAGATTAAAAAATTATAATGACAAAGAATAATATAACCCTGCAATATACTATAATTACAAAAACACCTTGATTTCCGTCCCAAAACGACATCGTTTTGAACTCACTGGAGATAATTTTATCTTTGGTGACTGGAGAAATCATTTACCCTTACCTAAAACACTAAAATTTTTAAAAATAAAAATAATAGACCCAAGACAAAAAAATAAAAACCAAATATTTTAAAAACTTATTACAATGATTTTTTTTTTCTATTTCTTTTTTGTCTCATTTTTTTTATATTTCTATTAACAATGATAAAAAAGACTAAAAGTGGGAAAAAAAATAGAAGGAAAAAAAGGATTAAATATGTCTAAATAAAATAAAAAATATATATAAAGTACAAAAGTAAAAAAAAATACACCAAATATATTGAAAACTTATAACATTAATTTCTTTTTTGTCTTTTTTTTTTTCTATATCTTTTAACAGTGAAAAAAGAGGACTAAAAGTGAAAAAAATATAAATAGAAAAAAGACCAAGTATATTTAAATAAAAAAATAGATTGAGGATAAAAGAAAAAAAAAATTGAAAACATACAACATTAATTTCTTTTTCTTCTATTTCTTTTTTATCTTATTCTTTTGTCTTATGGGACATTTGATAGAGGAGATTTTTTTTTATCAGGAAAAAAAATTCTGGGAATATAGTGAATTTTTTTTCTCGAATAAATTATGAAAAGGTATTTGGTAGGTCCAAATTTTTTCTAAGAATGTTGGGCTAATTATACTAATGCTATAGGAAAATAAAAACACTATATAAGATGCTATTTTCATTTAAGATTCTGTAATTAAAACTGAAATAATGAAGAAAAAAAATTTCTAAAAATATTTTCAGTTTCATCGTACCAAAGGTTAAATTTTTTTTTGCCCCACCCCACTTTCACAGGATTTCTAAAATAATCTCCATCCCAAACAAGCCCTTATTGAGAATTAAATATTGAATAATCATTAGTCAGAGGTCAACCAGATATCACAAAGTAACTACATATTTTCCATATAGAAATTTCGTCCCACGGCTTATACCAGACTTTGTAAAACGAGTCTTCTTTGATACCACAAAATAATAATAATAATAATAATACATACCCCCACCCGAAAAAAAAAATTATAGTAAATTTTGGTTACATATTATCAATTAGAAGATAACAGTAAATTCAATAAACACAGATTCTTATTTGAAGCAAATCTTCTAAATATTCCTAGAAGTACTTTAGTCTAGATAATTTATTTATATTAATTAGAAAGTGTATCTAATAGTTGTTTTTTGTAAGCCAGAAAAAGACTCAACTGCATAGTAAAATGGTGCATCATAAGCTTGATGTACCAAAATATCAATAACTCAAACTTAAATACTAGTGCTAGCGTAGCTTACCTCAAGGGTAGATAAAAATATATAGCCGTGAAACATTTAGACCCTGTTCCCTCTGAAAAATTTCTGGCCCCGCCCCTACCCAAATGCTAATTTTCACGTTTGTGCACAGTGCACTACACTTGAGATATGCTTCTATTTATTCTCTTCCCTTCCCATGTAAAAGGGAAGAAATAGGAGCAGAAAATTGCTTAGAAAGATCCCTTTTCATTTTTTACCATGCCATGGTAAATAAATATATACAACTTCATTACGTTTGACAAACAAAATCACATAGCATCTGTCTGTAACTGCTCCTTTTTTGTGACAACCAACGAAGATATCGTCATCTATGTTTCCCTCGCTTAACCCTACAAAAGATTGAAAAAACATATATGAAAAAATGAACCTAAACTTCACTTCTTTTTCTCTCTTCTCATACCTAAAGGATGCTGGGAGGGAAACAAGCGGGTGTATAGAAAATAACCATCACTCATCAGACCATTCATACATACAAAACATGGGGCAACCTATATATATATATATATTTGGGATTAACGTTTCTCATGTTGTAGAAGATAATTTTATCTTTTATATATAAATATATGGGGTCCGTATTTTCTTTTTCTTTTTCTTTTTCTTTCTCTTCTCATCATATAGCTCCACATGGGCCCACCACTTTTATGTACATGTAGAAGATAAAATTTATCTCCTACAATATGAGAAACATCAATTATATATGGGAAAAATGTTTCTGCATTTACTGCAAATAAGTTATCTGCATTTATTCCCAAAACGACGTCGTTTTGGTATTAAAATCTTAAAAAATTATAAATATAAAGACTATTATAACCCTCGAATAAATTAAAATTACAAAAACACATCATGATTCCATCCCAAAACACGTCGTATTGGGCTTACTGCAGATAACTTATCTGCCGTAACTACCGAAAAAACGAACTCATTATATATATAGGGATTAACATTTATCCTGCAAAAAAGATGAAGTTATCTCCTGCAACTCCCATTATTTCCATATATGTAGATATATATATTTCTCTGATAGCATCATCTAGAGCCATACCTGTCTTCTCCTTCGGTTCTGTATGACGTACCAGGAACGTGCCATTGCACAGCATGGCAAAAGAACACCAGCAAATTGAAGGAATGACATCTGAAACTGCCATCAATCATTTTAAGTTAGCACTAAGTACCCAGCAAAGGAATTAAAAGCTGGATTTAAAGGGGAGAAAATTTTCCACTTTTAGAAAAAAGATGTACCCAAGTGGATACATCTACCTAAGAAATTTTCAAAGGGAAGACAGATATGAGACAGAGACTGAAATCATTAAATTTATGTTCAGAGTCACTGCAGAATCTCAATTTGCTATTTGACCCAACACAACATGTTAGCGTTGACAATATTACGGTGGCAAATGAATAGTTTCAAGAAGGTTATTTTTAATCCCTAACCTTCCCACGCTGACACTAACCCAGTGATAAGAACCATAAGTTAATCCATCTAGTTTGATAATTGGCAGAAAAAGCACTCAGTTCTTCTTTAGTTTCAGTTATAAAATGTATATTCATTTTACCCATCAAACTTGATAATAATACATATAATTGAACCTGCAGATTATGCATCTTTTTCACAAACATAACTTTTTTCCCTTTTCTTTCCTCAATAAGTTGGCAATAAGGAATTTCAATAAATAGATGCATGCACTAACTTGAGCCATTTTAATGATGCTAAATGGTTCACTTACGTGTTGCTATTGTTTTAAGGTATAGAGTCTGAGCATGCACTCATAGTTGACACCAAAACTCATGTAATTCAAATAACACAATATAACCATTGGGGCGGACCTGTGTTTGTGCAACTGTGTGCAAGTGCAGACACAAATTTTCGGGGCAAAAAAAGAATAAAATACATTTTGGGTCCTCAACAAAAATCACGGCGTCCAATTTAATCCCTTAGAAAAAAAATCGACTCATAGTCCTTTTGAATTCCAAAATAAATTCAGTTAGTCGAAATCGTGATCCCTCTAAAATTCAAAGAAGATCCACATTAGTCCCTCAAAAGTACTAACATGGATCTATTTTGGAAACTTTCATGTTGAAGAATCGAAGAATGCTTTTGTAATCATTCTATTGTAATTGACTCTTGATTACTATTTTTTTATGTTAAGTTGAAGTTTTCTTTTCTTTTCTTTTGTTGTTTATATTCTTTTGTATTTTAATACATTTAAAACTTTCTTTAAAAAAATATTCCGACATAGATAAAATTTTCTGAGTCCGCCACTGTATATATCCCAAAAAAATATGCATAACCACACCTGTGAATGTGCCAAGAAGGGAAGTTGTGAGAACATGCTACTTACATTAAAGAGTATGGATGAATCTTGCCCAGTTGTAGAGTTCTTCATGACCATTAAAGCTTGGCGTACAAGCAAAATTATAACCAACTGTATATTATCATCAGCCACATCAGCTCTTAGAAAGTATGATAAAAACATGCATTAAGGTCACATCTGTTTCCTTACAATGAGAGTGATAGAGCGAAGGCAAGCAACGCTACTGGTTTGTGTAATAGCATAATCTTCATACTCAGTTTGCAGCAACTGGTGCTCTGCTGAAGCCAGAGCCACACGGAGATCAGTATTATGCCCCCATTCTTGCCTGTATATGGGAGCAATATAAACTTTACTGAAGGAAAAAATTATCATGATACACAAAGAAGCATTGAAAAACCAGGACTAAAGAATAAAGACGAACATAAGCATTACATCTCCCGAACCCAGAGCAGCTATTACAAATTGCAAAAAATAAAAATAAAAATAGATGACACATACCCTACATTCAGAATAGGGACAATATCACAATACCATGTATCAATTAATTCCCTTTTTCCGGAAGGGGTTGTTAGAGGGTAAGCAATAGGGGAGGACCCATTATTTGCTGTTAATGCCAATACAAGGATAAAAGTGTACAAATTAGCTTATATGAATGTCCCTCAGTTTTGTGATATCTTAACATTCCTCATGAACTTGATACCTGTTGGTTAAGACTTATATTCAATCACAATACTGAGATTGTTCTGACAACAGAAAGTGAGAAAAGCAACCATCCTTGGGACATGGCTGACCTAAAGTTAGTTGTCAAAACTTGTAAAATGAAAAGCCAACTCTTATATTACTAAAATCACTTGTTATGATGTCTAACTTAGTTGAAATGAAAATATTCAAATTGAATTTGGCTACAAGATTCAATTGAAATTTGACATTTCAACCATAATGAGGTAAGTTTGTCAGCCTTCTCAATTTCTATGTGAACCAACTTTCATTTATCACCTCTTCGGAATTCAAAGCTGCAAATCGAGGCTCTTTAATTTTTTGGCTGTGCATGATACCTAAATATACAAATTTAGGGATATGGCACTACGTGCTGATCTAAGAGGAAGTTATCGAGATGCATAAGTTGATGAGGGTTTGAATGTTTATATCTAAAGATACAATGAATCATATTGTTGAATTATGAATGATCAAAAGGGTATCATAGATGATAGATCCAACCAGCTTTAAGCTAACCCCGGATATTTGATGCAAAAGCTAACCAACTTCTCAGATACTTTAAACCATTTAAAATTAAGAAATGAGGTGCCACCATCTGGTATACAGCCTAGAAGCTTTACAAGACGAATCAAATATAATCACCAAATATTAATAAAAATCTAAAAAAAGTGACTATCATGAAATTTTGATCCTTATCTTGACCTCAAATATTTGGTGATATGCAATTTCTGGTACCACCATTTAAAAATAAATTTGAAGAGAAGTAACTGCGCCAGTATAAAAAGGCATCTAAATTCATTACTGCAACTTCTTTTCAGTCCATCAATCAAATTTATTCCCATACCAATCATTTATTAGAGAGTCAAACTTCTACCCAAAAAGAAAAAAAGAAAAAAAATACTAATTCAATCAAGTTTCTAAAAATCATACAGGATAATTTTTCTTGGCATATTTTAGAACGAAGAAGAATGTAGAATAAGCAGCCAATATACATTGCAGAGGCAACTACCAGGCTTGCATAGAAAACCCCAGCTCATAGAACACACGGCCATTAAACAAAAGGTTTAATGTTTCTCATGTTGTAGGAAATAAATTTATCTCCTACTCATATATAAAATCGTGTTGGACCCATGTGAAGAGAAAAGAGAAAAAAGAAAATATAAACCCCACACACTTTTATGTGTGTATAGGAGATGAATTTATCTCCTACAACATGATAAATATTAAACCCTTAAACAAAACCTTTCAGAACATGGAAGCTAAGAAGTTGGCGAATTTAATCAGTTTTCTGCAAAAGCATATATTATGGGATAGTACACTACACCCAGTCACAACCAGATTACCAATACATGCTCAGAGTTACCTTATATCAATTGCCATAATGTCATTGCTTCTGACTGGTGGAAGAGAATAATTTGGTGAAAATGCCTAAAGAGTGAAAAATAGAGAACTCATAATTTCTAATAATAAATTAGGCAACTCATGAAGATTAAAGAACATGAATGAGTTGAAATCCCCAACCTGATTACAGATTTCACATATTGTATTTCCTTTCTTATTGCACCATCGCTGGATACACTTCCTATGAGCGAACTGCATGCCAATAAATTGTGAGCTAACATGTTCACATTCCCATTTGTAGTCAAAACATTTAGTATCCAAAAAGATACACAAAAATCTCAATCCCAACCCAGTATAGATCAAGCCTCCTCCTCCTCCTCCTCTTGTACAGATGCAACAAAAACATGAACTAAAGATTCATGAGATGAAGCAACAAACAGTGAACGTGAATAATGCCAATTGAATTAGCTCAAGAAGTCATCGCATCAAGGCAAGCAAAGAAAGTGTATGTCAGCAGACTCATGCTATCTAAAAGAGGAGGGGATGACAACTTAAAGCAAAAGGAACACAAAAGAAGTGGTATTGGACTACCAACGAATTCCAATATGTAGAAGGGAATAGGAGGAGAAACGAAAAACCCAAACACTACATGAACAACAAATGAAGAATTACATTGCTATATAAGTTGCTCATTAACACTTCCATAATAATAATAATTATTATTATTTTCCCCTAGAACAAGAAACAAGACAACCCCAACAACATGGCGGTATTCTTATATCACTTAACTTTCTTCCCAACATGTAGAAACGGTAGTTACGTGGGTTTTCAGTTTATTGTAAAAAGAGATCAACTTTAACATTGGGGTTGCTAACTCAATTGTAACAGCAGGTGTTTCACATGGTTCTATAAGTTGGTGTTCTTATATCACTTAACTTTCTTCCCAACATGGAGTAGCAGAAGTAGTTATGTGGGTATTCAATTTTTTGCAAAAAGAGAGCAACTTTAACATTGGGGGAACCAACTCAATTGCAACAGCAGGTGTTTCACATGGTTGAATAAGTTGCTCACAAACACTTTCTAGAAGTTGGTATTCTTATATCAATTAACTTTCTTCCCAACATGTAGCAGTAGTAGTTATGTGGGGTGATCAGTTTTTTGCAAAAAGAGAACAACTTTAAGAAAAACCCAGAAAGGGAAGACCTTGAGAGTGCCTTTACAGGAACAAGGAGCCTCCATGGCTTGGAGTAGATCTTCTTCCTGGCATATTCTGCACTCCACAACAACAACAACAACATCATCATCATCCCTGTTTGAAGAAGAAGAAGAAGATGAGGAGCACCCTTCTCCTTGTCCACCATTCTCAGAAACAGGTATTGAGTCAACATCACATTCTCTTCCATTTACTGCTTCACCAAAACAAGCCGTGGAGGCTATAATCCGATCAATGCATACAATGAACTCGTCCATCATTTTTTATTTGGTGAGAGTGAGAGAGAGAGAAAGAGACAGTGTAGTAGTAAATGGAAAAGAAGAGAGGGAAGAGAAGAGGACAAAGAAAATAGGGTGGGTGGTGGAGTGAGTGAGTGAGTGAGTAAAGAACACTAGAACAGGCGTGGGTTCCAAAAGGGAAAGACCACTCATACTCACACACTCACCACTCTCCATGGTGCGCTGACGGAATTTACGAAACAAACCGCTTCTCTTTCTTGTCTACGTACACAAATACCCCTATATATATGCCTACCCAACCTATTTTAAACTTTAGTTTCAATATTATTAAAATTTGCCGATTACTTACTCGATCGAGGTACCTATTTTAAACTTAGTTTCAATATTATTAAAATTGGTTGATTATGACTCGATCGAGGTATTGATTATAGTTTAATCAGTGGGTTATTAATTAAATTATATGTCTTAATAATTATATGCAATTCTTTAATTTATATTAAAAAATTATAAACATATTTAAATATTTAAAAAAAAATATTTTAAATATTTTAATATAAAAAATAATAAACAACACATTATTATCTAATAAATAAACAAATAAAAATATAATGATCGTGATACTGGACTTCAGGTTCTGTAAACGACATCTCTAACTATAAATCAAATCAAAATTTATTGCATAGTGCATAATTGAGATAATATTAATGTTGTGAGTCATAACTTATGTAAGTCAATAAGTAAAAAATACTCAGATATATCCATTATGATTTTTTTTGAAAAAAAAAAATTGAACCGGGTCGGGTCACAGATTTCACAAAAATCGGCCGAGTCGTACCGAATCTGATGCATGACCGATCCATTGCTTTATCCAAACTGATTATATGACCGATTTATTGATTTTCGAATCAATCTGGCTCGGCGATCTGATTTTATTATCATTGGTTAGTTTGCTCTTAGGGCCAACGTTGGTTTTGATGAAAATTAGAAAGAAAATGAATAATCCCAATACTCGATTTTTATATTATTAAAATAGAATAGAAATAAGAAATTACAATGAAATATATTTTATTTTATTTTTCAAATTTGAGGCATGAAGCATATTTTTAAAACTCGGTTGAAATACTGAATTATTGATTTAATTAATGAATTACTAATTCAATTAAGTTAACTAAATTTATATTTATATAATAAATATATTATATGATGTATTTTGACCCATACACGAGGGTAACCTAGTAATAAAGAGTAACATCACTCATTCTCATTGGTTGGATTCATTCCTAGCCACCATCAAAAATGAAATATTTTGTTTTAAATTTGTATTAAATAATATAATAAATATATTATAAGGGTCATTCTGACCAATAATTGAGGGTAACATAGTGATAAGTGATAATACTATTTATTTTCATAGGATCGATTTGATTCCCAACCATTGTTAGAAGTGAAATTTTCTGTCTAATTTTAAAACATCTTGATTTGTGAGTAACCGGGTCGACCTGACTGGTTCGATTCAGGTTTTAAAACACTGGTATGAAGTAACATTTATTTATTGTTTATTAAACTTTTATTATTTTATTTATTTATTAAATAATAAAATTAAAATAATTCATGCTTTATTATATAAAATACTCAAAAATAATAAGTTTTCTCAAATTCGAATCCTATTAATAGCGAAAATAATTGTTGGACGTATTCCTTATATAAGTCGATAAAACTCAAATTGAATTAGTTAAGTTTTAAATAAATTGGTAACTAAATCAAAAAATAATAATCTAAATAGTAATACTGAATTTTATTTTACTTCATAGTTCATTCCATTCTATTACATTTTATTTTACTACATTTCTCATGTCATAACATTTCTATATTTTTGCTTAATCCGAATAAACCATTTTCTCTCAAGCTCGTATTATTGTAGTAAATCATAAGAAATGAAGTGTCTATCAAAAAAAAAATCATAAGAAATGAAGTTAGACAATAATGTACACATGTTTATCAATTCAATATTACATGTATAATGAAACAATGATTAAATAAAGAATAAATAATTAAGAGAATTAAGAGCAGTTGAATAAAATCCATAAAGGAAGTGTACAACAAGAGGCACATAAGAAAGAAAAAAACGAAACAAGAGACACATACATATAAAAAGCACATAAAAAGTAGGGATTAATATTTTTACTTTTGAAGGATATATAATTATGTTATTTTAATTAAGATTATTGTGTTTTATAGTGAGAGAAATAATTATGCAATAGAAATCATGGTGAGGAAAAGTGAGATATTTTTTTAATTTAAATATTAAATAAAAATAATAATTTTAACTAAAATAACTGTTATTTAAAAGGATAAACTTTTTTTTCAAAAAAGTAACCGACTAAAATTTCCCTCACACAATCTGTATGTGTGTGGTGGCATGATTAGGACATAAATGAAGATCAAGGCTTCAATCAATTAAAAATTTTGGTGACTATATATAATCATGGTTCGTCGGAGTTGAATTCAGTGGCGACATCAACATCAAATAACCTAAAGGCACTGGAATGGGGTCGAGGCTGAACCAATTGGGGTTTTGGCGAGAAGGAGTTAGATGATGTACTATATAAAATTGTTTCATTGAAAGTCTGGACCTAAATAAAGAATTGTAATTTGGCCTTAATATTATATAGACCGTGTAAAAATTAACGAGTCAATAAAATTAATGAGTCAGTGTAAAAATGGATCAACGAGCGTATCCTCGATTAAAGGAGTAACTGAGAGGGATATTAGATTATCGAGCACTCACACTTCAAAAAATTTGATCTGTCATGTTCGACACTCTGATATTTTTTGACACTCCAACATGCGTTGCAGAAGTTTAAAAAAGGAATCAAATATTGTATTGCGTTGCGTTTTTAGTTCAAACTATTAGATTCATTGAATTGCGATTACCATTTTATTGAGTTTAATATAAATATTTGGAATGTCTTATGTATCTTTGCAAAATTGATGGGTATTATAAGTTTAGTTTCATTTTTTTATTAAACTATTGAATGTTAAATATAATATACACTACATAAATTAAAAATATTATTTAATATCAAAACGTGTCGAAATCTAATATTTTTTAGAATTAACGTGTCGAAGTGTCGTGTCGTGTCGTATCACATGTCCCGTGTCGGTGTCGGTGCCGGTGCAACATAGGTGGTGAATGAACCAAAAAAACTGATAATCGAAAAACAAAAAATTGGAAAAAAACTCATATATTTTAATTGAATTTCACTGATTTTCGGTTTGGTTGGTGAAAATCAATTCAACCCAAACTGATCCAAAGTATTATGTATTTATTATTTTTGAAAGATTGTGACTTGGAATCTTGGATATTATTGATAGCAAATTATCTTGTTTTAGTTTTTATATTGTCTATTAATCTATTTTCCTCTTTTTGAGTTTTAAGACTTTTTTTAGTTTGAAGACTTGAATTTTTTAGTGGTTTGTAACTTTAAATAACTTTATTTTAATATAGTTAGAGATTTGTACGATTGGAATTTTATACTTTTTAAAAAATCGAAAACTGATCTAATCTAAACTGAATAAAATTGGATTAAATTTTAAAAAAAATCTCAACAGAATGGATAATTAAATGATAAAATCGAAAGATTGGATTAGATGATTTTTACTTAAAAATTTGTAACACCCGTTCTAGAACCGATTTGTTATCATTGTTTTATAATATTAAGCGCAATTACAATCACATTGGTGCAATTAAAACGCTGATAAACTTTTTTTTTTTTAAAAAAACTTGTTTCTTTCCCTTTTAAACAATACCGTATTTTAAATAACCAATGAGATAAGTGTAACTGTATGACGTTGCGAAATAATTAAATTCTTACTTAATATCATAACGTTCTTTAACAGGTATGTTTATGGAGTTTCCATACATCAACAGGAACATATCTATTAACTCTAATATTTTAGTATGTGAAACTACACTTCTAGGGCTTTTTAGAAAGGTATAACATTAACCATTTGGTTAAGAATAGCTAGAGTTATTCAACTCGCAAAATAGTTTACGAAATCAAACTTTCAAAGTTGCAGCATCATCTTCAATTCTAAACTGGTATTGACACACTTAACCAATGGTTCGAAGATTTTACAGGATTATAGCCCTATGTGTTAGCTTCACGTAGGTCCAAATCTCACTCAATTTGGAGCTTTGTAACACAAGTTATGCGAGTTTTACTAAACAATGTTCGTTTTGATTCCGGGCAGCATGTTTGAACGCCTGCCAGTATAACACCTCGCACTTCTAAAACATGTATTAATATAGTAAATACGGATTAAAGGGTAGGATTAGTGAAAATCCTGATAATTAGGTCAAAATACAAAGGAAGGGTAAAACGGTAATTAGCCAAACACGTAACCCTAGGAAAGTAAAATTGAGTAAAAGGTCTCAAATGATAAAAATAACTCTGGAAATGGATTCATAAGAAAAATTGAGTGGATAGGTAAGTTTCAAAAAATTTGGTGAGTAGTGTTTTTACCGGGTAAAAATACCATGGTACAGTTGCACCGTAAAGCGTGCCGTTGAAATTTTGAGCTCTAGGTTTGAATATAAGTTATAAATGGTGTATAGGATTAGGAAATATGATTTCTGATAAAATCTGACGAAAATTAGTAAGTTTGGGGAAGCGTGCCTACGGTGCGCGTAACAGCTTAAAACTGCAATTTCTCCGAACGACCGAAAAACTCTGGATTCATCTGATCAAGGGTAATTAAAGGACAATGGTTAATGTTAAAAATTAGAGTTTCTAAATAGGTTATTAAATTATGGACGTTTAGTGGAATCGAAGAGAGTTTTGAATTATTTTGAAATCGCGTGAGGTGACGGTGGGGCCCACCTCACTTAAGTCACTTAAGCCACTTGACACCTATCACTATTCACCATCTTCTTCTCTCCTCTTCCATCAAGAACCCGCGGCCCTCTCCCTTCCCGAATAAATCTTTGGTGCTACTGTTGCACCAAAGATTCAGTACAT